CCTCTAAAATCCCCACCTCTTAATAGTGCAAATCGTGATTTGCAGGAGGATATTCACCTAAACATGGACCTAGCGAATCTTTACGGACAGGCGGTTGATGTCTCCCAGGAAAAGATCGTAAAGGTGCTTCGTGTCCGGTCCGAACAAAGCTCCCATCTCCCTTTAATATGGTTCTTGCGGTACTTTACGCTCAACCTTTACTTTGCAAACGAGTGTGAAGCGATTTCTGGTCGAAGCGGAACCTCGCTCAAAAACATTGTTAACTCCCAAATCAAAGATTTCATCCAATCACATGGCGATGCGGAGAAGCAGAAACTGGCCCAAGGCATGGAGTCGGATCAGTGGAGCGCCAAAGATTTCACTGAAGAAAATACCATTTTACTCAAACGTATACTAGACAGTAGTACGAAGGATAGTGATGCCTGGTTAGAAGGAAGCAAGATCTGGATACCATTCTCTGAAGCGGGTAGCAAGCAGAGCTCCAACGGGCGGCCGAGGGCCGAGTCTAATGGCGCAACGAAGGAGAAGACAAGGAGTGCAATAATAGATGGCGAATCGTTCATACTACCCAATTCAGCAATCCTATGCCTAGAAGGAATGTCTCACTTCTTGCATCTCATATCTGGAATTCCGTCCATGGCGTCTGACGTGTCCAGCTCTCTAATCGGATACTTGCAACTTTTTAATTCTCGGTGCACACAACTTATCCTGGGCGCGGGCGCCACCCGTTCAGCAGGTCTGAAAAACATCACGACAAGACATCTAGCGCTGGCCTCGCAAGCTCTAGCGTTTATCTCTACGCTCATTCCTCACGTCCGCGAATTCGTTCGCCGGCACGCGGGTTATGGTCCCAACGTCAACAACGCCAACGTGGCTAACCTCATGGGTGAGTTCGACAAGGTTAAGCGCCTTTTCCAAGAACACCAGAACAGCATATACGACAAATTAGTCGAGATCATGAGCGCTCGCGCCTCAGCGCATGCAAAGAGCATGAAGGCGCTCAACTGGGACCAGAAGACCGAATCAACTGTGAATCTATACATGGAAACGCTAGTCAAGGAAACGGTCACACTTCACAGGGTGCTCACAAAACATTTGCCAGAAGGCACTGTAAGGCTGATCATGACGCCCGTCTTTGACAGCTACAAGAGCCAGGTGGGCAAGGCGTTTCAGGGACTAGATCCTAAGACCGAGACGGGCGTTAAGCGGTAAGAGCAATATTCATACTTGTTATCAGTTGATCAACTGGCTAATGGAACCATAGGATGGAATCCGATATCGAATACCTCATCAGCCGACTAAGCAAGATAGACGGCTTCGGAGACACGGGGGATAGTCTACTCGGCATCGTCAAAACGAAGAAGCCGGAGAAACAGCCGGAGCCTCCCGCATCAGATAATAAGCCAGAATCGCCCAAACCAGGTGACAGCAACTCGGAAGAAAAGAGCGGCAACGCAGACAATGCAGGTGAAGCTAGGGAAAAGAGTACGGAGAGCACTTAGCGGGTTTTGGAGTTGTTTTTACATGCCGTGTTTTTGCTTGTACATTGGTTCGTTCTTGGCATGAAGGCAGGCGTTTTATTTTTTGTAGTGAAGGAAGGGCTACGCTATAGTATTGCGGCGAAGTGTCTTTCGGTTTTTCTTTTCTTAACTGAGAGACGAAGACATATGAAGATGTGAAAACCTTGGTTGTCATGATATGAATGTTATAGCCCATCGCCACGACAGATGTGTATGTAGGTAGTTGTACGTTGATGCCTCGTTCGAATGTGAAGCTTTGGCTGCTACAAATTCTTCTATATTATGTCTAGCTTGCCATGCGGGACTACGCTGTTATATGCTAACCGTAGCAGTTTATATTTATGCATATTTCCTGTTATTCTATAGGTACCTACCTACGTACCTAAGCTATCTATATCATGCAATGTGCTGCAGCCTGGGAGTGCAGGTATCAAGTCCGGTGTGGATGTCTTATAACCACCTCACCCGTCCGACTCGGACCGCTTGCCTTACATGCTAGGTATGCTGTCTGAGCCGCCTTTTTCCTAGTCCACGTGTTTCTCCCGCGAGACATTGTCTCACTTTCCCGTCTTCTCCACACGCACTTGCATCTGATGTATGTCTGTGTTTGTGCCGTGCTAGGCACATATACTCGCACAAAACTCTACGCTACAAACATCGTTTTCGTGTCCCCTAGTTATAATGACTTAGAAAACCTAAGGCAGAGAGAGGGTTAGTTAGATAGAGAAGTAGTCGAGTCCTATTACGTGCCACGACGTTAACAGATCGCGATATAGGACACTCTTTAGAGTTCCCTTTTTTCCGTTTACATAGGCTAGGTACACACTCCTGTTTGGGGGCAGGTAAACGCCAATAAATATTCGAAAAATGACAGGTCATAACGATAAGACGTTCGGAAAGTAACACGGCGGCTGACTTTGAGGTCCCCTATTCGGCCATCGGCAGGTCGTACGGTAGGTAAGCGGGCCGCGTTTAATGGCCTGCTTGTACGCTGCGTTGCCCGTCTAGGTAGACAAAGGCCCCGCGGCCGCCCGGCTTGCTTGCGACTGCAATTACTACCGGTAGGTAGACAGATGCTGGATCCCGAGGGAAGGCCAAGTCGATATCGGCACGCATTCATGCATGCAGACCTGCATTGAACAAAGAGCTCTGCCGGCTTCGGTGATATGCAAGGGAAACCTTGGAAAAGGTGCATGGTAGGTAGGGTAGGTAGGGTAGGTAGATCGTTTCCAGGCACCGGATATCAGCCCCGAGGGCGTACCTACATTGTAATATTGATATTTATAAGCGCATTCATTGTCTGTACGACGGCAAGCACGCACTCGTTAGCAGCGGGAAAACGTGGAGTGTGTTCACGTTGCTAGCCGCTCGGCACTTACATAAGGGAGATAAGACCCTGAATAAGCGGGATGGAGATTCTGCTTCTGCTCTTGTTTTGTAATTGGTCGACTTGGGAATGTAGATGTGACTTTCATTGGTGTATGTAGGTATTGAGCTGGATTGGATAGGATAGTTGCCTGCGGAGGACGAATAGGCTCTACCCGCCCGTCTTACCTGCGGGTCGTTGAGGTAATGTAGGTAGGTTAGGTATTTAAGGTAAGAGGAAATAAGATGCTGAGAGCCGCTGTCACTGGATGGATGACATATTTGCAGCGATCGACATAACTAACATACTAAAGCGCCCTTTACAACTAACTACACATAACTAGCTAAGAGATAGTATAAGTAAAGTAAACTCTTTACGACTCTCAATGTCTCGCATGCCAAGCATAACAAGATCTCCAATACCCACAATCTACCATATGCCAATCAAGAGAGACTGGGGGGAGGGGTGTGCAGTTAAGTACAACAGATAAGAAAGAAAGATCACCCTCGCATTGTGGCATCGAACCGGGATATCGAAAAGCTTGGCGGTTGCGGCTTTGGCACGTTTTTTTTTTTTTTGTTCTTGTCTTTATTTGAACCGCGACAAGTCTTGGCGAGGCATTCATGTTTTCACCTATACACAGCATGGGCAAGAAAGTATACAGTAAGGTGGTGTTAGTGTTAGTATTAGTGTCAGGGTCTGTGTAAGTGTAAGTGCTCCCACAACCATATCCAATAGCCTACTCGTCCCATCGCCGATATAGCAATGCATGCGCTCTACCCTGTGGCTTAAGGACAGCTGGTTTAACAAAAGGCGACATCGCGGCGCAAGAAACGAAACAAAGCAAAATGCGCCTTTCGGCGTCCGAATAATACCTACATACATACCAGGCACTTTATTACGAAACGTCGCCGAGGCACTTCGATCGTTCCAGGCGGCACGGTATCGGGAAGTTGACAAGCTAATTTAAGGTCTGGGGGATCGACCCGAACTTTGGCGTTCAAAGGGTGAAGGTTCCCAACGCGGTAAGTGGTAGTATATCAATAAATAGCCCACACCCTCCCTGTTCGTCGACTGGCTGGACTAAGTAGGACTAGGACTACGAGTTAAATATAACCTCTTGGAAAATCACGACATGGGGGCCGAATTAAGCAACTACAGCTCTAAATACCTTTTTTCAAATTCCTATAATACGACACATACCCAGGCATGTAAGTAGGTTAGACAAGTAGTTTAATGTTCTAATATAGTGATCGGGCTTGGCGTTTATATTTCCTTCGGTTTCTCTTTCGTTTCGTGGCTGAGTCTGGGGTCTGAAATTGGGGTGCATTTCGATGCTGTGCCGCGTAATTCTGTCGATAAGGCGCCACGCAATCCTGCGGGGTTCAATAATTTCTAGGTACCGCCGGTGTTGATAGCTTTTTACTTCCAATATCTTTCTAGCTTAGTAAGTTATGTAGGGTAGGACCGCTTCACTTAACATCAGTAACTGGAAATGATTTCGAAAAGGGGGGGAGGAAGTGGGAAACAAAGAGATAGTCAGAAACAGTAAAATTAGAACCATGTGTCGAAGTGTGTACCTACGGCTTTGACACCACGTGAAAGGGTCTCGAGTCTAGACCCTACTACAAGACAATAGACATAACAAAGCAATACTTTTCACGTGGACAATGAACAATTTCGTTTGTTTGAAATCAACCGTTAGCTCGTCTATTCGTTCTAACTATCTGGTATCTCGCTATAGCACGACCAAAGGGGGTATAATTGTCCCTTCCAAAGCAAATCAAGAAGTGCGACCCTCAAGTATATACACGTAAATAGAAAATTGCAAGATATAAGACAACGAATGTGGAGAAGGGCGATAAGTATCGGGTTTGTTTGTTTGTTTTTGTTTCCAGGAAGGGAACCTGACCAGCATGCCATCTTCTACTCCGCCGGGGAAGTAATATTTTTTTACCAGCACGATCCCTCGAGGTCGTGAATGTTGCGCAGAGCACCTGGGCTCGCGGCGGGTTGGCGGTTGTAAAGGATGGGTAATGCCAGTAGAAGTAAAGTCGTGTCATCGTTTCCGAACGCCCAGCGCACAACGCCTTCAAGGCAGTATAAGGCTCCGCTTACGCAGAGAGCTTGCCGAGAACGTAGTTACGCGGAACCACCATGGCTTCAACGTCACGGCGGGCAGGGGCACCACCGCCGAGGGTGACGATAAGGTCCGCTTCTGTGGTTGTGACGGTCTGGATGTCGTCAGGGTGGTAGTAAGCGGTACCGCAAGGGAACACTTGGCATCCGGATATGGAAACCTTAGACTCGGCTTGCAATTGGCTGGCGGGGTACATTTCCTTGACACCGTTAACGTCGTTAGGGTTCACGATGGCCGAGACGTCAAAGTACGTCAAGCCGTTCCAGCCGTTGAAAGCAACCTCGGCGAGCATGCCCGGGACGTCAGGGGCACCATCGTTGAAAGCGTAAGCATTGCCGATCCATCCCTGAGGGAAGTCCACTCTAGCCTGGTCGTTTCCTCCAATCGTGATGGGATCGATAGTTGCTTGCCCAGCAGCCGGGGTAAAGGTGATGTGGCGAGTGGTGCCGTCCTGGTTGATGAATGTGAACGAGTTGGCACTAACCAGAGTAGCCGAAGCAGCAGCAAAGGCGGCGATTTTAGCGAATAGTCCCATTTTGTTTGTTGTTGTTTATTGATAGAAGTGATAGTCAGAGTATCTATATCTGATGGCTTGTTGCCTTGTGGTTTCTGGATTCAGCTGATAGGGAATGTATGTTGTAGCTAAGGGTATATATAGCTTCGTGTTAAATGAATGTACCACGAATAAGCTTTGAAAGGAAGGAATAATAGCTACCAAGAGCTGAAAGAGAATGTATAGAATCAGAATATTGATTGCGGTATAGAAGTGATAGACAGACTTAGGATGCGGGATGGAACAAAGTCTTATATGAAATCTGGAGGAACAAAGACCACGCGAGGTCGGCTCGTGGCTCTACCATCATTGTTCAGCTCAACCAATCGTCGACGAGTCTAACGTATCCAATGTACAAGAAACGACAAGCAAGTCCAGAGCTAGTGCTGCGTTAGTATGCAACGGGGGGTCCCCTAGACCAATTCCATGATCCAGGATCCATCCAATCCCCCTGGTGCCGTGGATGTATCAGCGCAGCCACAGCAGCCCGAGGAGGTAGTTGCGGAGGCCACAAAGGATGACATGTCCGCCCGTTCCTGAATTAGGGTTGCATCCCAAGTAAACCGGCCCAGCAGCTTAAATGGAAGGCCTCGCACTAATGGTTCCTTGTAGCCGGGACAAACATTGCTAAACCCATATATTTGGGCCTAGCATGAGTCTAGCGGCGGTGAGATATGGAATGCTAAAGTGACTGCATCAACTCTTAATCTGGATTATGACCCTCCGAGCCATTCTAGAAGACATTAGTGGTCAGCGGTACCCCATTAAAATGCGCATCCTCGAAAGTCGCGGAGCCTGGCGGAGGGCATCTGATGGAATCTTGGCGATACTATTTTAGGGCTGACAGATAACGATGGGGTGTGGGCTTATGAACTCTGCGAGGACGAGGACGGTCACCTAGGCTTCACAAGCAAGAACTTGTGCTTCCACCAATCCAAGAGACTCGGGTGGGCTGTCTACCGGGGTAAGATAAAAATTTACAAAGGACTCGAAGGGGGTGGCACACAAAGAAAACAAGTAAAGGATTTTTACCCTGCATTAGCAACTGCTGGATTCGATCTGGTTCTAGAACCCGATTGGTCGGCTTTAAGATCTTGTTCCTGGTACCTGACATATTCCATGTGGCATTAGCACTGATGTGGCAGGCCATGAGAGGGTACAGTCTCGCCCGACAAATGTGGTGAGAAAGAGGCATATTCTATCACCGCATCTAGGTCCGCGATGATGTAGCCTAATGGACCGTCGTCGCCATTGGGCTTTTCCGCCTTGGATGAAATTCTTTGCTCAGTCGCTCTGCCGAGAGTAATCCATACGTGGTACCATTTAGATAAAATGTTCACATTGCTAATACACCGCTGACAATGACAACAACCTTGTAGAACATCGCGAAGGTGGTGATATTGGGATGGAATAAGCACATCCCTTGCGCCCGAGATGGAACTTCATACGGGAATATGGTTCCAACTGAGTGAGCGCGACGGTATAAACGGACTAATAATTAAGGCTTCTCGAACTGGGTTGACCTATGGCCGCAGCTTGCAAAAAATTTCTTTTTTTGCCATTCCGTAGCCAACGCAACGTAGTGACACATGTGATGAATTAGTGTATTGAACAGGCTGCAGTTGCATGAGCTCAATAAGGCGCTATAGCACCGGCGCCTGAGCAAATTTCTCAACCAAGAAGACTAGATCTCGTGAGAGAGACAAGGTAGACGTTCTAGCCTTTCGCTAGCTAGATATGGTGATATAAAACTTGTGGGAACCTTGGGGAAATTTGGCATGGCCATTGGTGTCACGGGAGTGCGGTGCCGATAAATATTAGTAAAAGGCTCAACTGTCGAAATCGTCGGCCTTGCGCTATTCACGGTCGAGTGGATCAGCAAAAAAAAGGTGATCCATATTGACCTAGCTGTGTAGCCACTAAGGCACCCGGGTGTTAAGCCGGAATGGACCGATACTAACGCCTAAAGACTTAGTCACCGAATTGGATACCCGCAACTCCGGACCGTCGAGCGCTAGGGGCCGCACCTTCACACCATCCACTACGGGACCGGGGGGGTGGGGGGATCCAAGAGACAGGATAGCATCCTGATTTGCTTTTGCCACGCATGCATCGAGATCCACATAGACTTGAGGATATATTGCTAAACCGTAGTGGACGACATGTTTGTATATGGCGGACGAGGTAGCTATTACTCAACAGCCAACCATAATCAAGATAATCGGTATAGTCCTCGGTCATTCATATACCGGAGAATTTTGGTCGAAGCTTCAATCTCGTCACTCTTCCTTCACGTTAGGTACCGACCACTGGCTCATCGGCTAAGGTGCGGCCTTTCAAGTCTATCCACGGCAGCCTAGTTGCCAGTTGCCATGAGCCATGAGCTATGAGCCATGAACTAATGCATCGACACCAGATCCCTGACCAAATCCGATTCTTGGAAGAAGAGGCGGTATATTCCAACCAGCATGAGTGGCGCGTGGAAGTTCCGAGTAACCTTGAAGTCGCATACTGCTTTAGCTAACGACTAGTTATGTGGCTTGGGTGTGATGATTCATCAAGATACTTGTGGGTGAATTTTAGCCATTAAATAACCCAAGTTTTCTTGAGAGGGTGAAGAAAGATGCGCTGAATTACCACTTTCAACCAAGCCTCGACGCTGAACCTGGCCTCCTCCTGCAGCCGAATCACATAGTGCTAGACAGTTCATTGGAGCAAAGCCAGACTGTAGGTACACCCCTTAGAGAGACACCGAGAAGTTGAATGTACTATTCGAAGCCGGTGAGGGTTGACCTAACAGTCAGCAAGAAGTAAGATACCATTACATATGCAGGTACGGACGACCTATCAGAAGAAAGCTAGGAATTGAAAATTTTCCGGGCCGTTGCTTGGCATGTTCGCTTGCTAGATATCCAATGGGCATCGGCGGAGGACTGCAAGTCGAAGCCGAGCCCATCAAAATTTTCAGGAACCGTGATGTAACGGAAATGTCGGTGATGACGCGCTACTGGCGTTTTTGGATAGGTTGTAGTCCATTCGGGAGAGAACAAAATACCTCTTCCACCATTGGTTCAACGGGGAAGGCCTTCTCTTAGGTATTGTACTCTCATTCTTGCGGTCACTATGTTGGTGGCCTACACAGAAGTCCGAAAGGCTCACATTTTTGTCGCCGGTCCTCCGAATATCGCCGACTGATTCTCATAAGAAGCCGCGGTTAGATAAGCTAACCGACATCGCTGGGAGTTTCTCTATCCATGCCCTGGATTGCTGGAGAGACGAGGTAGTTATGGCCAAGAACCCCGTGGTATTCCTGTCAGACCTAATAAATTTCTTTCGACGGCCTGGACAACCAGTGCTCACTGGATTTTTCGCTAATCCGAAGGTAATCCGCAGCATTTACATATATTTGTCGTAGTACCATATATCTGTCTGAATTTCAATATCTCGCCGTTGGGATATTTGAGTTAAGTATGCCACTTCAACCGAAGAAGCATAACATACGTTGTCGAGATATTTTAGATGGCGACTTCAGGTTTGCTTGCGATTAAAAGTTCTAAAGGAGAGAAATATTTGGGGAAATTCCATTTTCCATTATCCGAATGTTTTTAATGCTCGTCGAATGTACTTGCCTATCATAATTGCTATCTTTATCTACAGAAGCCACGGCTATCGCGTTGAGTTATTCTAACCTTTTTGGAAGCTTTGATCGGACTTGAATCTCCGTCTGTGATCTGAACCACGGTACATACAATCGCTCTTTCCTATAATGTAGTGATACATATTCGCATATCTTTATCGTATCCAATTCATTCAACCTATAAAATCTCAACCAACCCCCCCACAATTAAGCACAATCCTTCCTTCAACAACACAACATACCTAAGGAGGTAACTTTCGGATTTTACTTACCTAGATCAAATAACTCACTCTTCTCTATTATAAAATTTCATACGAAATTTATTAGTTAATCGTTAATCACCAAAGTTCAAGATATTTACGTCTCAGATTCTCTAATCTAATCTCATCTTGGTGGGTGAGAAGAGAAAACGTTGATATTCTGGAGGGCTTGGCACTCCGTTTAGACTGGTGACTGGTGACTGGTAGCTCAGCAACACGAGGTTTGGCTCGGTCCTTTCGGTAGAGTTGTTACATTGATAAGGCCGCAAGAGGTATAGACTCCTAACAGCCACCGTGTCTCTGCACCAGCCCTGCCAGCCCACTTACCAAAAAGCGACTGTCGAAATATATGACGTGCCCAATCAGCTCAAGTCAGCCTCTGTTGCTCGACCAGAATGGCAGGGGAGGCTCTTCGAACGCCTATCATATCCTCAGCTCAGCATCACCAACCCCGCCTGACTATCTTGTTACCTTATCTATCGCACGATCTAAAAGAGCTATTTGTTGAAGAGATACGCTGACATGTCCGTACATCCCACGAGTAACAATCGTTTACCGAGACTGTTACCTCGTATCACACTAAAGAAGACGGCCATTCTATAGTAGAGCTCCTACTCCGGCCTGGTATCGCTGGGTGGGACCTAAATTGGATGCAACGTACCTTACCGCCGCTCCGTAAAGGTTAGGCTAGACATCTAGATAGCCTTAGCCTTGGGGCTAAGTATCGTTCGGTTGCGATCTAGTGTAGGGTTGAAAATAGCTCTTCTCATGGCTTCACGACGAGTCATTACGAGATGGACAAGGCAATTTAGGATGAATCGTGACCGGGATGGTTACCTCTATTTATCAAGGCGATGGGATGGCCGTATCACACATCCGACCGTACGACGCCTACGAGTGTAGAGATGTATCGGTCGTATGGTTGTTTGCCTTTGTGGCTTGTTGACCCCGGGCAAGGGTCGGTCGATATGGTAACTGCCCGCCATTGATATGCATGGCATCACTCAAAGAGCTCCCAGCCCTTGAGCTTGTAAGCCTGCGATTGCGGGCTGGACCGGCCGGGTCGGGCTGCTTGCCATTGCCCACCATAAGGTTGCAATGAGAAGTCAACCCTCCCCAGGTCCGAGAGAAAAATAAATAGGTGGCTGTCCTGCATGCACTTCCAACATACTTATCTCTTCAACATCTTATATCACTCGGGATCTCACAATCGCTACCTGTCGAATCTCAACTGACATCACAGTCGTTTTGCAAACACCAATCGCTTAGTGATTCAAGTCAAAGAATAATAATAATAATAATAACACCAGGACTTTCGCTTTACCATCGTGGTCAATATACAGATCAAAATGAAGCTAACTCAGATCCTCGCGCCTGCCGTTGGGCTGTTTGCTGTTGCGAATGCTTGGGGTGAGACCGCAGTTTGGACAACGGTCGTGGAAACCGACTACACCACTTACTGCCCGGTACGTATAATATTTTAACACATCATAACTACTGCTACTTGAACATTAGTCTAACTGACGCTTCGGCTAGTCTCCTACTACTTTCGCCTGGCATAATGTGACATATACTGCTACTACGGAGACCACTCTTACCATCACCAGTATGTCTAGATTAGTTCATTGTACTGAGGGTTACGGAAACTAACATTCTAAAAGACTGCCCTTGCACCGTTACTTACTCTCAACCTCCTCCGGTCACCATAACGTCGTACCCTCCGTCAACTTTTATTCCTACGGGGACTGCTCCTGTCCCCTCTTACCCCTATTCCAACGTGAGCTCTACTGTTATCACTTACACTCCGACGCCGTCAACTTACATCTCCGGAACTGTCCCCATCACCACCACCCCCGGAGCCCCCGGAGCCCCCGGGGTCCCGACTAACGTTCCCATCCCGCCCACGACTACTTTCTCCATTCCGCCCACATCCTCCGGTCCTGTGGTAATCCCCACTGCGGCTGCCGGCAAGGTTGGACCCGTCGGTGCTCTTCTTGCTGTTGGTATCGCTGCACTTGCTCTGTAAACTACACAATACGAAGCTTCGTACTATTGCGTTTTGCAGATACCCATTTTTGCTTTTTTATAATACCTAGGCGGCGAATGATTCCCCTCACCTTTTGGATGAAGCTATGATTTGATATGGTTGGCATCTGGAAGCGGAAATGGTTAGCGGCCTCGTTCTATACCCTCATTAAACCAAGCGATACCCCTGGGAGCTTGGAATGCTGTTTACGATGGATGACTTTGACGAGATAATGTGGGCTAGCATAAAGGAAGGCGGAATTATGTTGAGGCTCACACAACGGGAGGGTTCACATATCTAGTATATTAATCTGCGTGTATGTACGCATATTGGCTAATTCGATACCGCAAGCTTCGAAAGTACACTCCCTGAAGCTGACCCGGTATCTGGGTGGTGCAATAATAACGTATATAGAAAATACCATAATAATCACCAAAGCTGTGCCTTATATTCAATCGTAACTCTCACTGTGAAAACTGTGTATATACTCAGCCTGGTCGTCGTTGACTGGCGTATCTTAGCTTGAGCTGAACGCCATCTTCCTAGCCCGCAGCACTACTGCGCTCTGAATTACACCACCTTACATGCTGACATGTAGTGACCGAAGCCTCACGCACGCACCAAAGCACGTTCTCACATACCCGGCATTCCCAACCTAACCTAACCCTCTTCCTCCTCTACTCAGTTCGGACAACTGGCCCCCGCGAGCTAACCCACTACGCAGAGCATTTCTACATTCGTCTTTCTTATCATGCATACATATACATGTAGGTAGTCCTAATGCTGACAGCACCAATCTACATTGGCAGCTCACGGCACAGCTGCAGCAAGCACTATGCGGTGGCGAATAGATGTTTGCTTATTGCTGCTTTCGTCGGCTTAGCTCCGCACGAGGTAGGGATCTAGATGGATAGATGATGTATGCACTTTACATGCAGAGATGAACGGGTCCCAAGTTTTTTTTTCGTACCGGAATTTTGGGATATGTTACATAGCAGCATAGTTGGGTAGAAAGAATAAGAAAAAAGGAATTCTTCGAAGTTAGGTACTTTGTTGAAAGGGTTGGTAGGTATGACGTCCTTCCCTTGAACGAGTAGGTGGGTGAGTTTCCCGCCTCTTCGCTCGGGCTCCTGTACGACTACACCATCGCATTCGATGCCCCTGCAGCGTGAAATCGGTGCTGACAGGCGGACTTTCGGACGTTGAATTTCATGAACCGTTTAGTACATAGAGAACTTGTCAGAGCCTACACTACTGCAAGTCTGACGGCTCACGAGCGAAGTTTGTATATATGATACCCCGTCTAAAAGCAGCCAGGTAAACTTATCCAGCACCCATCCTCCGAGAAGTCGTCTTTTTTCGTCTCCGCCTAATTAAGACAGGCCGCCACTTAAATTCCTCTCCCGCCCCTACATATGTATGTATATAGTAAGTAAGTGCTGGATAACTATGTATATTACGTATGTATGTATGTGCGTAGGTATCTACTATCTAGGAAATGTAACGATATGCATTGTGATTGCGCTCCGCACAGGTGGTATGTCTGCGCCGCCAAGATGTCATGGAGCTCGTATTTCCTCTGCCGCCATGCAGCTAGTCCGCGAGCTGGCGCGGGGCAAGCAAGCAAGGAGAGCTGTCATTCACTCGCTTGCTTGCTGGGCTCGTGCGATATATAATTGACGTGATTAAGAGTTTGTTGGAAAGCACATATATCATAGCGTGAGAATGGGGATCTATAGCGTATGGATTGTGGCTGGCAATTGGTTTGTGAAAAAGGAAGAGACATGTCTCTGTCGTAGGCGGAACGCCGCTCTGCCTCGCCAGCTAATACTTTAGGGCGCTTATTAGACCCATCTTATACGTTTCGAGGCATCCACGGGATAAATCTGCGATTGTGGTAGCACAAGCAGTCTATATAAGGTCCATATATGTATAAATCGTATACGTATAAGTCGTCTACCGAGGAAGACAAACCCAGTAACAGATCGGTCACAATATCCCTACCTCTTGTTACCGAGAGCCGAGCTAGATTTTGCTCTTACTATACCTACCTCATAATCCTACTAATACCAATACACTACACACATCCCCTACCCTAGCTTCCACACGTGAGAATCCGTATCTTTTTATAGAGGTCACCTAAGACACAATGCCACCATCCTCGCGCCGTATCTCTGGCTTCGGTAACCAGGACCTCACTGGGCCTTGCTCGCGGCGCAAAGGAAGAGCCGGATCGAAGTGAGTTCGATGTAACCCCATACATACCTACGCAAACCTACGACGGCCACTGCCAAGCCCGCACTCTACTTGATATGAGGCAGCAGTAGATATCCGTCCCGATCAGTTAAAAGTAGCACCTTCGATATGTGGAATATATTTAACTCCGACCCGGTATCTTATAATCCGTTGGATATATGTATCTTACCTACCACGCATAATGGAAGACACGGGAAATAGCGAGTAAAAAGAGTTGAAAAAAAAAGAAAAAACCCCCCCATGTCTCATGCGTTGGCACATTGTGATTAGTCGCAGAGATATTATCTAGATCCCCCCCCGTCCTGCTCTATATACCTAACCTACCTGCCCGTCATCGAAAGGTCTTAGTAATTAGTACCTGAAGAAAGCCTGCCAAATGCAAGGGTCCATACAACCAACCACTACGCCTCCGTATGGTATCTAGATCTCAGTGGTTTCTAGTGTGGGAGTCCGCCGGCGTCGAACGAAGTTTGGTATTGGTGTCTGCTTTTGAAAGCTACACACATAGCTGGGAAATGAGACTGTCTACACTATTGGGTACCTATGCAATACGGTCGATACTCTTAAGATTTCTTATTCTATAGGTATCTAAGTGAAATACGAATTTCACTTGCGCTGATGACTCCTACTCCCAAGCTTACGAGACCGTAGAACTTCTAGTCATCCTGATCAACAAAATTTTCAATGTTGGTAGTAGGCATGTTACATTGCTGAGAGGTTCATGTAAAGGTCAACCGCCCGGCGCGTGCGGAGAACATTCTTGCTCTCGATATTACAATCGGTTGGTTACCCACCGGAAGCCATCAGCCCATAACCCATCTCTAATGGGATACCTCGGGCTCACGTAAACCACCATAAAGGTCAAATTTCGTATCCTCAAAGCGAAATCCACACTTTCACAAATTTTTCATTCATGCAGATATTATAATTCATTAGCCATAATCGATGCATGGGCCATGGCTTCCAAACCACCTGGTGGCATTAAACATTCGTAATTCGTGAGTAGCGCAATGTATTATAGGAGGCTCATCCCGCCGACGGTAATTCCATTCCGCTAGCCTCCATCCTGGACCTAACTTCTCGTATGAGCGCCTTCGCTTCCTCGACCTCAACACCATCTTGGCATAGCTCGTTTGCTAAGCGGTTTGCCGTAACGTAATCCTCCGTCCTCATCGCGTGGCGCGCAAGCCACATCCGGGCCTTGCTAGTAGCGGCTGTCACCCCCGTACCTCCCTCTCCGCGTCCGGCACGATCGCCGTCGTCATCCGAGCCTTCTCCCGGCGAATCGTTATGGATTGCGATGCCTTCACCTTGGCTGTCGCCTACTCCGCCGTCTTCTTGCGCCACACACATTTCCATGTATGCCTTTGCGTCTTCTTCCTCGCCTATGCCGTCGTACATGTTCGCGATCTGTAACAAGATCTCCGGGTCCATGTGCGCGCCTCGAAGACTACCCGCTATTCCGCCGCTGCCGATGCTGCTATTAGTGTCGTAGTAGCTCTCGGCGAGTAGTGCCCGTTTTAGAGCCTTGATCCCGTCTTGATTTCGGTTCATGCGCTGTAAGCACGAGCCAACGGCCATCCACATCTTCCCGTCCCATGGTCTAAGACCGGCTGCCTTCTTATAATACCACAATGCATATGCATGCATCTCTAAAATCTCGTACGTCTGCCCCAATCCGTACCATGCACGGTAGTCTCTTCGATTTACGTCCACAGCTCGTCGATATGATTCAATAGCCGCATGCGTATTTTTAAGTTCGACATACTCATGTCCCATGAGTGTCCAAGCGGACAAGCATGAGCGATCCAGCATCAACGCTCGTCGGAAATATTGCACAGCTTTCTCGTGCAAGGATAATAACGAGTAGTAATTGCCAATTACCACGCAAGATTCTGGGCGAAATTTATCAACACTACTGCATAGATGCGCTAAGAATGCAAGTTTTGGTCGTGAGTTCATGACGTAAAGTATGTTAGAATAATGGTCAAGCGAATCGAGTCGATGGGGGTGAAGCGATAGAATATTGCTAAAGTGTTGTTCTGCTGCAACGAGATCCTTCGCGTGGTAGGATAGCAGCGCATCGCATGTGAGCAGGAAAGATGACGTCGGGAATATATTGAGTAGTTGGTCGAGGGAATTTGCAAGATTCGGATCGTGCTGGTAGAGCTCGAGCGAGGTGTGTATATGAAACATAAAGGAGACGATGTTTTGCGGTAAACGAGGCATTATGCGATTTAACTGTATTAAATTAGCGATCATCATCCTGAACAACACCTTAATGTGACATACATCTTCTACTCGTGAGATAAGTGCAGTCATCTCTAGCCAGCAACCCCAATTCATAGGGAATAGGTGTACGCTGCGGACTAGCCAATATAGTGCCAGCTCTTCGTTCTTTTCTTTAGCAAGAATCATACCGTAGAGGTACTCAAGCCACCCTTGGCTACCTTCTATCTCTTCACCGTCGTCTGTTTTTCGTTGCTCGAACCATGTTTCTAAAATGCGACTGACTGTCAATAGCTGTTTATTGATGCATGTGCCAATATCTTGAGGTCCCATTACTATCTCGGCATCCTCATCTTTACGTTTCTCTCCCGAAAGAAACTTGGCATATAATGCAAGAAACAAGCTTTTTTGACTCAGTTGTGGTAATATCTCGGTGCTGCTTGTCCTGGTGCTAGGCGCTGTGGCCTTGCCTTTCCCCTTGCCTTTGGGCGTTGCGTTATTCGGCTCTTTCGAGGATGCCATGCCAGCCAAGGTAGAGTCGGGAAGGAAAACTGCAGCGCAGCGGTCATATTCTCGGCAATCGAAGAGGGACTTTGCTAGAAGGTACTTGTTTATCTCTTTAGCTTCGAGTATTGCTTCGTCTGGGTCGCCATTTTGGGCAAATGCTGTCGATGCGTATCCATTAGATGCATCCGACAGTTGAGAATCGTCAGGCGACGCCTCGGGTTCAGGAATAGCGTTAAGTAGTTCGGCTGCCCTAGAGAATATCCTGGATTAGAGCTTGTAATATGTGGCATTTCGAAGAACGGAGATCAATGAATACCATTTTGAAGATTGATAAAGACATCTCTCTGAACATTTTATAACTGCTTCCTGTAGGGCGCTTCGGAGTTGTGATTTTTCCTTACTGTTAAGAGACATCTTTGCGTGCTATATATGCGTCAATTCAATCAAAGAAACTTCGTTATGTCGCCTATGGCTGGTTCTCGCGGGTTGTATAGCTTGGTGTAGTTCGACGCGACATGGACGAAACCGCGTCGCAGTTCAATTGTCCCTGGAGCTTTGGGTTGTATGCATGTAGGTGTGAATGGTAACGAGCTTTAGAGGCAGTATAATCTAGTCACGTTACATTTTCAAGAGAAATGGTCCTACAGTTTTTGTTTTGCAGCAATGAAGCTTTATAAAGCTCTTAGCACATGAATCATGAATAGAATGAACAGGAGCTACGTATGTCACATTCTCAGCTTGCCCCTCGAAAATCAATATTGACCTAGGATAAGATAACGATAAGAGATAAAGATAAGATATCGATCAATTTAGGTTAGGTTAGGTACCCACCCATATTTGGATATCCGAAAGATCGACCAGATAGTGCATGGTCCCTTGCACCTCACCGCTATCAGCTTCAAGAATTGAAGATAACTACCTACCTCCTTAGGTAATGTAGGACAAATGACGCAGAGTACAAGATTCGCCTCCAGAGATTTGTGTTATTAAAGACAGATAATCCCAACATTATCTGTTAAAAGGAGAGATTTATTAACCACAAACATTCTTGCTGGACGCTGGAACTACCTTCTAGATATGCATATCATATGTATCATATCAGTTATTAAGTGAAGCAAATAGGTTAAGCACTAGTGCAAGTGATACCCTGCACTGAGCTGAACCCGAGCTAAAAGTTTTACACATTCCCAAATTCGTAGCACAGTATTTTTCACACTATGGCAATAACGGGACAACGGCTGTAATATCCAATGCTATTACGTAGTACCGTGCAATAACCTTTTGTCACACATAGCTGCAACTCAAATTAAATCTGTAAAACTTTCAAACCCCCACCATCTTAAGCTAACGTGCTAAGATACGTAGGCACTAAGAAGGTACGTACTAAGATACATTAGGTTAGGAAATTACGGCTCGTCAACAAAAAAGTCGACCCGGTGTGGGGCACCTCCTATACAATTTCCCGGGCCGTTATAAGAAGAGACCCTACTTCCCTTATTTCCTCCCTTGTACCCTAAGTCCAGAGGCATATCCCAAGGCATATCCTAAGACATACCTTATTAGTTAAAAGTTCAACACCGCGTCGACAAGATGGCTAAGAGAACCACCCTCAAAGAGTTTGAGTCTGTCTTCGCCAAGCTTGAGGAGGATCTCCTGGCTTGGGCGAAGCAATACCACTTGCCTCAGGAGCAGCAAGATTATTACAAGAAGGTGAGATTTGATTGTTATTATCACTCAACTTTATGCCCCCCAAAGAGCATTGAATATAGTTGAATCTCATTTGCCGCATCCCGTACTAACCCTACACGCAGATGCTCGAAGAAAACGCCGTTGGCGGAAAATGCAACCGTGGAATGTCAGTTCCTGACTCGGTGTCTATCCTTCTTGGCAAGGAGCTGTCCGAAGAGCAGTACTTCCAAGCTGCCACTCTAGGCTGGCTAATTGAGTTTCTTCAAGCTATGTTCCTCGTCTCGGATGATATCATGGATAGCAGCATCACCCGTCGTGGCAAGCCATGCTGGTATCGCCAGGAAGGCGTCGGTATGGTTGCTATCAACGATTCTTTCCTACTTGAGTCTGCTATCTACACCTTGCTCAAGAAGCATTTCAAGACTCACCCCTCCTACATCGACATGGTAGAGCTGTTCCACGAAGTAGCACTGCAAACCGAGTTCGGCCAGCTCTGCGATCTTCTCACAGCTCCGGAGGATGTCGTGAACCTCGACAACTTCAGCTTAGACAAGTATACCTTTATCGTCATCTACAAGACCGCGTATTACAGCTTCTACCTTCCCGTTGCTCTGGCGCTGCACATGCTCAACATCGCGACCCCTAAGAACTTGAAGCAAGCTCATGACATCCTCATTCCCATGGGCGAGTACTTCCAGATCCAAGACGACTACCTCGACAACTTTGGTCTTCCGGAACACATCGGCAAGATCGGAACCGATATCCAGGATAACAAATGCTCTTGGCTTGTCAACCAAGCCCTGGAGTTAGCTACTCCTGCGCAGCGTAAGACGCTCGAAGAACACTACGGCAGGAAGGACAAGGCCCACGAGGCCGAGATCAAGAAACTCTACAGCGAAATGAAGCTCGATAAACTGTACGAGGACTACGAGGAGAGGAGTGTCGGCAATATTAAAGAATTGATCTCTCACTTGGACGAGAGCGAAGGGTTGAAGAAGGGTGTTTTCGAAGAGTTCTTACGTAAGATCTACAAGCGAAGCAAATAAAGAAGTCGAAATGGAGGAACGAAGCTTACGAAGTCAATCTGATAATCGAATCAACTGGCAAAAGGGATATCTAGGATGACGCAGGAGGAATTCTTCGAATTGACTGTAGATTTCTAACTAGACGGCGACATGAATAATACCCTTGAAATTTACAATTCAATACCTTTTGCATTCCCACGGAACATAGGTCCCTCGTCATCCTTAGGTGGCCCGGAAAGGAAGACTCCATGCGTTACAACTTACTCTACTCGACTAAGGTTATTCTGGACTAAGGTTATTCTGCTCGCGGAGTTGGAAATTGAGAGGGGCCTTCTTCCACATCATATCCATTCCCGCGGAACTAATTCAGCCTTCGGGGTTTTACACCACCGGACATAAAAAGCATACCTAGATCAACCTCGTTACGGTAACCCGCATTTCTAGATTGGCTTGTGCAATGCCTACGTAACTCCTAGGCCCGGTGCTAACTGGGAAGGTCGTCGGCTGCGAACTATCTTGCGTAGAAGATCATTCCTCATCTCTCGACTGTCGCTTAGGTACCTAAGGTTCGAACCCGAAAGAACTAAACTCTAGGGTTTTAGCTGAGGGTCACCGAGACGCTGAGGCTCTAACACTAGGGTGAAACTGGTCGTCTACCATCTCGCCGGGCGATAGGATACCCTCTGTAGTCCGAATGCTATTGGCGGACATATTTTCACTGTCCTGTCTACCTCCTAGGTTAATATAACTTTTATTGACTAACTCCGCCTTAAGATTCCGTTTGCTTATCGGTGTCGTATGTCCCTCCAGCTGGTGATTTCTAATTGGGTTTAAGAACAGTATTTGGGTATCCAAGATGTACGAGTTCGACACCGTTTACATACCCATACTCGATCGCTCGCCCTTTTTGGCAACGAATAATACGTTACTTACGTCTTATGACTTTCAGCCATTTCTAGTAACCTTTAAATGTTAATGTTAAATGTGATGTTTATTTTAAAACTATCTAACTTAGCGAGTGACTGGAAACAAGTGCGTTTTCAACTATCTACGCTACACCGAAGCAGCACGCCTCACCAACAGCGAAAGATAGTCCTATTCGTACGACGTGAAACGTGAGGAGTCACAGTTAAATGAAGGAGAATGTGATAGACGCGTGTACACGACCGCCTGTTCTCCTTGACGATCGACTGGAATGTTTAAACCGCGGGTTCACGTCTCACCAAGACCAATATAACGAAGCCCACTGCATCTGAATCTCGCTAACATCCTATAGGTAGGTCCGAACTCCGGGGCACTCGCGTCAAGCAACTTAACAGCACAGCCCTATGTCGAGGAGCGATCTAATCAGTCTAAAGCGTAAAAGTGTCAACTGCATCGCCAACCGGTTTAGTTGTATTTCCTTCGATAGTCTTACACTTTGGGATTTATGTTGTTCTAGCGACATACATGCCAGGACCCGATAAGATTCACAGTGTCCGTATTCGTGGGATTTATGAAAAAAAAAAAAAAAAAAAAAAAAAAAAAAGGTACCTTTTAGAGGGTTATAAGATACGTGCAACCTCGGATCTGAGCCGCATCTGTGAGTTCCACGACATCGCAGTCGTTCTGATCCCCAGTCCAGAGTAGGTAAATGGGATGAGAGCCCTCGACGTCATCCAAGAACGCAGCTATCGGATTGCACCTAAATCGTGGCTTAAAATACCTATTCCAAGTAGATATCCCTGATTCGACAAAATTTATACCGATCAAAAGCCCAACCTTCGTTGAAAGTGCTGGCGCTGTAGATCATCAGCCCTATTTCGGTGATCATGAGTTACCTACCTAAGGTATCTTAGTACTTAGTACAGAATATCCCGAGGAAACCTCCCGTAGAAATCAGGTCGACCTTGCTGGCTTCGTTTACCTACTGCGAACAGGACGGCGGGGCGGCCCGTAGCCGAGTTCCCTGAAACGCCCAAGAGTATTTCCTGCCGCATACACAACCATGGTAGATAGAAGAATAGTTGTGGCTCATAATACACGTGAAGCTATCCATGTCTGTGTTGTGGGAACCATTGCCTAAAGTGAGCTGGGCAAACGGCCAGGGGAGTAAAGAACATATCACATAACAATCAACTCCAATAGAATACCTAAGTAAACCCCTAAGAGGGATTTTCATTATACAGCATCTAATCGAAAGCATCCGTTTCAGATGCAGAGTATTACAAAAGAGGTATCTAGTCTAGACACGCGGGCCAGCTATATAGGTAAGGTAGGTAAGTAGGCAAGACATCTATCGACCTCGACCCCTCCTCCTAAAAACAGTATTAACCATGCAAGAAACACAGGCACTATATTGATATCCATATCTCATCTTAAACAGATTCCAACATATTGATCCGTGAAAAAAGTCCAAAAAAGCACATTTCCTCGCTTCGCCTCGCTTTCCATGATGTTATCTTCATGACTGCTCGCTCGCTCTCCATGATTAAATGTCCCCGGAACTCCGCCGCTTTTGTGAGAGATGATCTTGAAATAGGAGGTATATAAGAAGATGTAGGTAACAAAGTACCCCCCAGCCGTTAGTTTGACAAAGTAAATAGGCGACGTTCGGCGCGGTATTAAGGATTAGATAGTGTAATATATAGGTAGGTAGTTTCATAAATATGTCATTATACCACTTTCAGAGTGCCTGTCCTGCCGGGTACGGAATTGTACGAGTTATACTCGCGTTCTTTCTCCCTTGTTCGTTCTCTTTCCCGTTCCCGATCTCTGCTTCGTGGCGGTGGGTTTAACTTGAATTGCTCCCGATCACCACCGCGTCCAAGTAGAGGCGGGACAGGGGGAACGTTTCCCCCTACCGGAGTTCTTGGGGGAGGTGCGCCTTGAGTTTTGCTCCTAGTCCGGGAAAGGCTCGGGAGGGGGGCTGTGTGGGAAGGGCGGCGGAGGGCACTTCGCGGCGGGATTTCGGGTTCCCCGCTCTGCTTGCTTGGGTTCGAGACAGTAATAAGGTCGACCAGATGCGCCGTGCCGGCAGGAGCTTTGACGCCATGGCCAGTATTTTTCTTCGCCCACTGTGGTGCCTCTTGGAAGGTGTTGTCTTCCAAGTCGACTAGTGGTTTCGGCCGATCACGACGGTTCGAGTGGGAAATTCCAATCGGTTGTGAGCTAAGGGGATGCGGGTGTTCGTGTACTAGAGGCTTACTGCTTGAAGGGAGGGGTGGAGGTCGTGATGATGAAAGAGAGGGTCTTCGTGTGTGGGTATGCGTATGGGTATGTGTAGGCGTGCGGACGACACCCGCAGAGGTACTCGGGCGTGTGGAAGAGGAGACAGAACCGACACTGCGCTGTCTTGCAGAATGCTCAAGAGCTGATGGGAACCAAGGAGATCCTGGGTTTTCAATCGGCGTCTCCGCTTCGGACTTCCGATTCAACAGCGAAGGGCCCTCCGTAAACCCATCATTTCTGTGTCTTTGCCGACCTCGCTCTGGCTGATCTGTTTCTACATGGGCATGTCTTCTCTCTTCATACCCTTCACCAAGCAAGCCGTTGCCGGTGAACCCATCGTCAATTGTCGTATTGATTCTGTCTATCAATTTCCGCTCGTTCTTGTTGTTTCTGCCTATATTTTCGGTCGTCGCATCGGAATTGAGATGATGGGAAGTAATATCTTTTGGCATGGTCGATACATCTGGCACAGATGGTAAGAAATCCTGTCCGAATTGAGATAATCGCTTATCAAAGCGCTTCATGTCGAGAAGCGGCTCAAATTGGCCGATCGCATAAGGTGTTTCATCAACTGACACTTGAAGACGGTGGCCATTGATCGAAGCAACATTTGCCGACTTCTTTGGAGCCTGAGCGACCGAAGGGGATGTGATTTGAGGCGGCTTGTCGTCCGTCTTCCTGATCGAGATTTTCCTCAATGGTTTCGGGGCTGCTGGCCTACGATCCACGAGGTACCAGCTGCGCCAACCCTGTACCTTTTCCCTAAACTGGGCCGCAATTTTAGGGTCTTCCGTACAGAAATACTGGACATAGTTCTCGGTATTCATAAAGACATTGGTCTTCTGTTGACTCTTCACCGCGAAGCAATATCGCTTGGGCGGCTTGATATGCCTCCGCATCTGAGACTCGGTAGGTGTATAGATATCGTAGTCGGATAAGCGACATAGGCTCGTGGTATCCTTGTCGGTTGAGCTAGCGTTCGGCTTCTTGGCACAGATTATCTGTCCATTCTCGAGAAGGGTGATCCATCTCTTGTTCCACTTCCCGGGACGGTTTGAGTGGTACATGTATAATTGGAAACCTTGCGGTGGCTCGTCGAGGCTTGGAACTGAGTCGATGTCCAACTCCTGACCCTGTTGTTCGGATTCGGATAATGCTACCGTCAATTGGTTCTGGGTATCTCGATCCCAAGAATTCATGACATCTCGAATATGCTCGTAGCGTCGCAAACGGCGCTCAAGACCTAGTACGCTATAAGTTTCCTTAACGACGTAATTCGACGGATTAATATCGCTGGAGCCCATCATCTTAAGGGCGTAGGCTATTATATCGTCCGCAGTCGTTTCGGGGGTGACCTCCACACTGAAAGTATGCTGTCTATAGCGTACCGCAACATTCTAATATCATATTAACACATATCGCAGGTTGCGTCAAGCCATAATTTGCACTTACTCTATCTCCAGCGTTGATCGCAGAGTGAGGCGCATCCGTCTGTGGCACAATGCCTCTCCCGCCAGGCTCTATTCCGGTTGGTTGAGTCTTTATAGGCTCGACACTGGTGGTTGAGGACGTTGGAGAAAGGCCAGGAGATAATCCATCCCTGCTTTTCCGCCCCTTGGTCAAAAGGACGAACTTTTCAATTACAGGACTTCTCGGCTTGGGCGAATGCGCTTGAAACGATGGCCTTGGACTGTTCGCCAACTCCACTTCTAACCTTTGGAGGTCTTTTCTCTTCTGCTCGATTAATAGTCGATGGTTTTCGGCCTCTAAGCGTGCGACTTCTCGCCTCAACGCCTCGTCATCCTCCCCGCTGTTTAGCCTGTTCCGTCGCCCATCTCGACTAGCAAGCCTCCGCCACCCGCTCTCTTCGCCCTTTGCGCTTTTCGCCGTGCTGGGACGGCTCTGATACTGATCTGTCATACTTCGACGCAGCGTACGGCTTCGCGTGCTCTCAGTATGGCGCACCTGATGTCGCGGAGGAGAATCGAGCGCGGTAGCCGGGGCATCACTCCCCTTTTGTGTCATGCTGGCGGTCCTTAACCGACGTGGTATAGTAGGCACAGGGGGGGCTATCGGAGGTTCCCATGGGGGTGGTGGATCGGAATTAATTTTTTGGGTTGCATCGACGTTGACAGTAACGCTATTACCTGCCCGTCTACGGTAGCGAGACATGGATCGAGCAATAGTACTCCCAGATGTGGTAGTCTGGTACTGCTCGCTGCTTTCGCGACGACCACGTTGAGATGTCATTTTGTCTACTGTGTTTGCGGTTAATGGAAGGCTTCTGTCTCTTAGACTTGGGGCTCGCCAATTGAGTCTATTTTTGAAGGGGAAATCTAGACGAGAGAAGTTGGGCGGTGACGAGCCACTTGGTAAAGTGAGCGTCTCGGACCCTGTCGACATCGTGCCAGGGATGTTTGTGGAACCAAATCGCCTAAAGATAAATGATCAACAGGCACATAACAAGGAGAAATCTGTGCCGCTAAAACCCACTAGCCAGCTAGTTTGTACACTAGGAGTCTAGGACAAGATAATGACGATGTCTGGATGTCTAGCGAAGTGTGCAGGGAGCGCAGAGTGCTCACTAACAGATCGTACCCAGAACAACCTTGGCTTCAAAGCGCAATGTTCAAGTACAAATCTATGTAGACGGTTTGTCGCAAATGAAGGTGACGGCGCATGGTAGTAGTTGGTAGGTATAGAAACGGCAGAAACGGCACCTAGCACGAGGTGAAGGCTAGGGTGTTTGCTCCTTTTCCGTCTACTTTCTCCCATCCATGATGATCGGAATAGTGCAGTGAAGCGTATGTCTTGGGGGTTTAACTGAAGATAGAGATAGCGCTGTAATCTCCATATACTACGCGCTTGTCACCATCAATCATATCATTTGACGTACGGGGATGATCCTGCCGCTAAAAAGGTAAAATGGAAGGATTCTCAATCAAAGCAATTGATCAAATTTGGCAGATTGCCGAGTAATCAACTCTAATTGTTATTGGTAGGAGAGGAAGAGCAAGGGGTATCTACCGGGCCATGTCCATATCGGGTCTAAACATGTGGAGTATTAAATCTCAATTATCGCGAATAATATTCGGCTGGTTAATTGGCTGGTGCATGATTGTAGTTTGGCTACTGGCATGACGAGCAGCAAAAAATAAATAAATAAAAGAAGCTACATATGCACTAATCGTACTAATCCAAGTTAGGTAATCTTGGCTTCGGTAACTTTCCAGCTAGGCAGTATACACTAAGGTTTCCATGCAAGGGCCATTTCATGTCATTAAAATGCAGGGGATCCCGCATCGCGTCAACGATCCACTAGACTAACCTAGCGTACTTTGGACGACCAAGGACCAATGAAGGCCTGTGCTCGTCAGGCACAGAAAAGCCAAATTCTCAACTTTGGTACCGGCCGATAATTGGTTCCACCTACTGTCTTTACATAATGCGCTTGTCTTTGGTCCAAGCAGGTCGGAATGCATGTGGCATCTTTAAAATCGACATGTGGCAGGCACGATAATCAAGTAAGACAAAAAGGCTACACGAAGTTGCTATTATACAGTCCATATACTTCATAATTATTTATACCAAATAGTCAACTATTCCGAAACTCCGCCCACTTCAATGTTACCATTACCATGACTTACCCCCATTTCGTACGCGTGGTTTGCAGGAAATATCAGGTCTTAAAGAGGGTCTGCATATATGCAAGATGCGCGCAGGCACAAGCAAAATTGGTTTCCATGCAAAATGCTAATGGGGCTGGCTAACAACACCGTTAATACTGCATTCAGCTGAGGGTCCAAAGCCAAAAATAGGTAATCTGCTCTCCGATACTCTATATTTCGGGCGGAAGCCCGTAGAGTTTATTATTGACATCAACTCCTAGGTAGGTAAGGATGATCGTTGAATTGATACGAGGTTCCATTATGTTGGGTTCTTAGACGAAAAAGTGTCTCGTGTCGGAATAGAGCACATCTAACACATCTATAATTGATGTACAATGTGTAAGGAACATCGTATTGATTTTCGTAGAACCCGATGATTTCGTGGTTTTAAGTTAAGTAGGTAGGTAATTATAGCTTTGGCCAGAACTCGGGGAGCAAATGCTTGGCTCCCTTACAGATAGAATTCGTAATACCACTAAGCAAACATCTTAGATCTCTCATTTCCTAAATGCTTTAACACTCCACCTCCACCAACCGGTAAAATCTTGAGTGGCCACGTCAATACCGATATCTTTGAGCGCTTTTGTGCTGAGGTGGCAGTCGTATGGCCTCTGGACTGAAGCATTCGGGTCATTCCCCTCAGTATTGGGCTCGATGGCTGCAATCGATAGACCCATGATTTCGCCGAAGAGCTGGCAGATCTCATACTTGGTATACTTGCTCTCCGAAGAGAATTGTAGGATATAAGGCAACTTGGATGGATCATCCGTGCTTAGATATTTCTGTGAAACATCTATTTCCAGGTGTTAGCGAGGAACAAGCGAACTAAATGTAGAAAATAGCGTTCAATGCGAAGAAAACATACCGTAGCACACCCGTCCTACGTCTTCAGTCTACTACGTGTCAGTATCACACATAATTATTTCAAGTGTGCATTTGTGGAAGGGATAAAACAGCGGCAAACGATATTACAACGTACTGCGAACATGTTAGCGTCCATTGAGAGAAGAATATATGCGAAAATAATTTCGAAGACACAATGTTTCAAGCTTACCATTGGTAGGGTAACGTAGAGCCCAGTGGTCCATCTTAATCTTGGCACCTGGTTCTTGTGCTTTCCAGACGGATTCCATAAGCACATTCACAGCGCTCTCAGATGGCACCTCGGCATCGCCGTATAATACGGGAACACGTAGGACAACACCAAGACCTGCCTTGCCAGCGCGCTGATACTCCTCTAGTACAACTTGCTCCCCATCTAGCTTTGTCTGCCCGTATAAGTTGGTAGGCTGCGGCTTTGCATCCGCCTCGTACGGTGCCTCTCCAGGCTTGCCCGGGAAGACATAGTCGGTGGATATATAGATTAGGAAGATACCGCGCGCCGCGCACAGAGAAGCAAGTTTCCTGGTAGCTTCGACGTTTAGGGCGCGTGTTCCCTCGGGGTCATTGTCACACTTGTCGGGGAATCGATTCGCAGCGCCTAGCTAGCGTTAGTTTTGCGCGAATCCATGGGTGAGTGAGTGAGAATGGGTTACAACTGACAGTGAACTACAACTTGTGGCCTTGGAAAGAGAAGGCAACGTTAGCAATTATACTCTTATGAATGGATGGCAATATCGATAAGGTAGGTAGGTATTATATACTTAACACTGTCAAGGGTAGCCTCTACTTGCTCTGCATTCACAAGGTCGACCTTGAGGATCGAAGACCCGTCGGCGCGAGAGAAGCCTGTCCCTTTAACGTTCCACTTGCCTCTTTCGAAGGCCCTTACAACCTGTCTACCTAGTAGGCCGGTGGCTCCAGTGACTAATGCGGTTTTATCGGACATCTCTGATTAGTAGGTCTTTTGGTAGTTGAGGAGACGAGTATAAGTTTAGGCTAGTACTTTAACGTTAACAGCACAAAAGAAGCTTGGAGGGGTAGCTCTGATTTGAGATGCAGAATGTCATTGTAATAGCGGGGGTGGGGTCACCGATAGCTCTACTACCCTGTAGAGTGGGGCCATTATAGAGTTTTAATACTACTAGCTTCATCTCTCATTTGTCTTAAGACTACTTAGGTACGAACGCGTTGGAGGTATTGATCCTTCTTCTCTATAACAAGACCCAATTACCAGTTTAATTTCGAAGCTCCCCTCAAATCATCCACATTCAGGATGTCTGCGCCCTCTTCCATCAATGTGCGCCAGACTTTGTTTCTGATACCAACTGGCCAGCTAGGCGTATCCCAGTATCGAACCTTTAGTCCCCTGCGATGAGCACCCTTAATCTGGCCGCGGATCGTACGAAGTTGTTTTTCACTGAAACCACCTAGGACGATCCCTATAGTATCTGCAAAGCTCGTGCTCGCATAAAACGAATTAGAGTCATTGTAGATAGGAACTTCGGTAGACTTCGTGTCCGAGGCATCCGGGTCCTCCCACATATCTGTTAGGGGGGCATCGAAGAATGCATCTCTATACGTCGCATTTTTTGCGAGTAGGTCTAACGGTGTATTTCCTGTCCCAACAACGGTTACTTGGCGCTGATGGACAACCCCATTGTCAAAGGAAGTTAGCCAGCCTCTCGACCTCAAGGGTTCGAGCTGTGCTAATACATGTGGCCAAGTTTTAGCCCCGTCAGTCTTCAAGTCCACAAGAAGAATTACTGTCTGTTCCGGGTCGTAATCGAAAACACCCCGACGTGTCTCGTTATAGAATTGTGTTTGTGGGTTCGTGCGATTGAGTAGGTCCACTAGAGGATTTATGTAGAGGGACGTAAAGGTGCGATTTGGAGTTAAAGCTGCTTCATCATGCCCAACGTAGAGTTCCGGATCGTCATCAAGAAGCCAAACATCTGCTTCGACCCCGATACAGCCAGCGTGTAGGGCCGAGAAGAGAGGCACCTTGCGCCAGTAGTCGTTATGCGAGTGACATCGAATCGGAACAACATCGCGGAGAAAATCTGTAGGATACCAGGCCAATCCTTCTGTCCCCGTACCCGGCTTGCCCCAGTTCGCGAAAATTTTATCTGGGTCATCTTCCAGACCCCATAGACTCCTAGCGATAGAGAGGAGTAGGCTTATGAGTAAGAAAGAAGCCCTATATTTTTAGGTTAGTTGTACGAATTGATGTGGTCTACGTTCTGATAACGACGCCTACAATATGACCAACCCCCAAATGCTACCGCATGTGAGATAGCTTTGCCAACGTTGCCTTTTCGGGTCCGATTGCACTATTTTATCCACTGGGCCTATCCTTGCCGCAGTAGGGTTCTCATTCTCTTCGGATTCTTCGACAGGTAGATAGTCATGAGGACGTTGCCGGTTCCAGAGGTTACTTAAGGGTAACTTCATTTGGGAGTGCGTAGTGCTTATATTATCAGAACGGGCGTGGCTTGTTTATTCTACCCAGGTGGGAAAGACGAAATTTTTTGAGTCGGCAATTACTTCAATTGTCTGTTTGACTCGATGATTCTAGGTACTCTTTGTACTCGGTAATACGTCTCTGACGTCAGTTGGAAAGCAATGAAGGATACGTTACATCGAGTTTACTTAATTGGAGACAGAATAGTCGAGTATGTATGTCGAGGAGGTATATTCGTCAAGCAAGATATATCTATGGCAATAGGTTCAGAATACCTAATATAAGTCTATTGAGGTTCATGGGTGATTCGGACTTGGCGGCCAGTTTACTTAGAGTTGGTACCTGATCTTATCTAATATAGGTGGGGCGTATGTGCTACACTAGAGAAAGCTAAACTGTACAAGTCTCAAGCTTAAAATGTGGGGTTAAGTAACGTACTCAAAAATTTTGGAGCTTCCAAATTTATCGCCGGTCTCCCAACTTCATTGACTTCTTCGGAGATCACAATTTAGATCAAGATGCCGCACAAACATACACGCAGGGAAAAAGACCCTTCTACGTAAGTAATATCCTGCCGTGTTGACTCTAGGCTAGCTAACTTCTATACCTAGATACGATCTACCTCCTTCGCAGATTGCAAAGCCTCTACCAGTAACGTCCAAATCGCAGAAAAATGATACAGGGAAGCAGGCCCAAGGCCAACCTGGGAAGGGCCAAAAGCGCAAGCGAGATACGAAACAGAAAGATGATGCGCCTCGAGCGTTCAAAAGGCTGATGGCCTTTGCTGGAGGCAAGAAACCGCGGTCTGGATTAGATAATGGCGATGAACCATCTAAAAAAAGCAAAAAGAGGAAAGCCGAGGCTGTAACAAATACCGAGGCCGAAAGCAAGACAGAAACAAAGGCAGAAAAACAACTTCCTAAAATCCAGCCTGGCGAGCGTATGTCGGATTTTGCTGCTCGAGTAGATGCTGCGCTTCCTGTCAGTGGTTTGATCAATAATTCGGTTAGGAATGGCAAAGATCCCCTGGGCCTAAAAGTATGGAAGACCAAGAAGGAAAAGAAGATGCACAAGTTATACGACGAGTGGCGAGAAGAAGATCGGAAGATTAAGGAAAAGAGAGAAGAAGAACTGGAACTCTTAGCAGAGAAAGAACTAGAAGATGAAGAATCAGGTGTTACGTGGAAACTCGACTCACAGAGTGGCGGTAAGAAGAAAAAGAAGGGGAAGAGGGCAAAGTATCTGGGCGAGGCTGCTGGCGACGAAGAGGACCCATGGGAAGTATTGAAGAAGAAACGCGGCGAGACGAGAGCTGGCTTGCACGATGTCGTTCAGGCGCCCCCGGAGCTTACCGTCAAGCCACAGAGGAAGATGACCGTTAGAGGCGCAACGGTCGAGGTCGGCGGTATTCCGAAGGCTGCGGGAAGCTTAAGACGAAGAGAGGAATTACAAACTGTAAGAGACGATATTGTCGCCTCCTACCGGAAGTTGATGAGCGAGAAACGACCATCCTTACATACGACCTAATATTAGAGTGTCTTATATCGGCTTTGGACAACATAGATACCCTAAAGTCATGAGGATTTGTGATATTATTGCGAATGAAGTTCCAGCTAGGGTATTGCGTAGAATACCACTTGTCGTGTGGGTAGCAATCGGCCGCCTAGTCATCAGATGTTACTTGATAACCTGAGTATCTCAAATTCGCGGAAAGGATACACTAGCGGTAACCTCAGATTGACTGTTGACTGTCATACGTGAAGCAAGAAATTACGCGGGAGTCTAGCAGAGACTAGTTGCTTAAAAGCACCTACAAGGAATAACAAGACTTCGCTCTCTCAATACAAGAGTCTCGTCACCTAGATCCTTTTATTTAGTAGTAGCTGATCTCGTTACCTCATTGGCGATTAACTACCGCGAAGAGGATCAACGGTATAGTGGTAAAGTTAATACGTACAGCGCAGCGTACCTCGCCGATTACGTTGACCTATATGCACACCACTTCACGGCACCGCCTACCGAGGGAGGCCGGTCCGAGTATTACACGACTCAACCAAGGTCAATTAGCGTGTTGGAAAATTGCGAGGTATCCCCAGAGGGCTACTGTTGTCAATGATGCTGGGGACCTAGCTAAATAATACCGAAACAGCACTATTCAAATTGCAAGCCCCAAAGCGTATCAAGCGAGAATAGTAGCTACTTGGACACATTCTATCGAAACATGTTCTAACGGTATTCGAATTTCCCGCGAATCTATCAAGCACATAAACTATAATGATTTACGGGATATTAATGGAGCTCTTTAATAATTCATTACTAGGCGACTTCGTTGCCTTGAGAGTCCAAAAAAGAGGCGTTCAACGCTGACTATGTACGTATAGGGTTATAAGGCTAAGGGCATAAACTTGAATGGGAATTTTTCATCGACCATGATGCATGGATTGAGAGGCAGGAGCTTGTAGAATAAACCGCTATACCACTAAAAGTTTATTTGGTAATAGATTTTATTCTATTATGTTTTATATCGGACAGGTAGAATATCTGACAGGGCCTAACTTGTAATATGTACATTGGGGGTTGGGGGGGGGATGGTGCCCTTATACCCGCCTGCTAACTAGCGGAGGATAAGTATTATCGAGTCTTTGAAACAGCAGGTCTTCATCTATCGGACCAATCGTCCTCGATGGCTCTGAAGAAAGCCCAACCAATTACCATGGCGAACTCTGGGGGCTGTGTCTTGTGTGCTTATGCATGTAATAAGCCGCGAGGCTTTCCGAACTCCTCATGGAAGGACACAGCGCTCACTAATTTGAATTTATCGTCATCTTTTCTATAATCATATAACCACTATTTATGCTAAATTTACTCCTGGACCTGAATCAAATAGATTAACATTGGTATCAAGATCAATTTTATGACAGGCGCATGTGGGAGGGCAGTTGACTTGCCGTCATCATGATCCGCCTCATCCATTGCGGTGAATGGAAGTTCCACGAATTTGACCTTTGCAATTTGCCTGGGTATGCTATTTTATCACACAGGTGGTTCAATGATGCAGGCGGGAATCCAGAAGAGGTGACTTATCATGATTTTCTGGCGCGGTTAAACAACATCACACAAGGCAAAGCACGGAGCTGGGCGAAAGTCGAGAAGGCTAGGGATATCGCCTGGGGGCTCAACATCAGATGGATATGGATCGACAACTGCTGCATCAATAAAAGGGATGCATCAGAACTCTCGGAAGCAATCAGCTCTATGTATCAATGGTATGCACAGTCACAGGTCTGCATTGCGTACTTGAACGATATGGATAGGACCGAACTTGGACCTTCATCGTGGTTTGAAAGAGGGTGGACATTGCAGGAGCTAATTGCCCCATCCCAAGTCCTATTTTATAATAAGAGTTGGCGGTACTGTGGGAGCCGGAATGGGTATAGAATTGAAGATGCATACGATATAGCCACAGACCTTAGCGGTACGATCTCTAAGATTTCAGGGATCGAGAGGTATCTTCTGAAACTAAACGATAGCAATCGAATCAAACGCCACTTATCTTCTATTCCAGCTTGTCAGAAGATGTCATGGGCAGCTAAAAGGAAAACGGCCAAAAAGGAAGACATGGCGTATTGTCTAATAGGATTATTCGGTATTAATCACATGTACCCGAAGTATGGAGAAGGGGAGAAGGCATTTATCCGGCTTCAAGAAGAGATCGTCAAGCAAACCAGTGATCTGACCCTATTCGCTTGGGTAGTAGGGGATCTTAATAAGTGCGACCCTGACAATCTATTGACGTACAACGATATCAATGGCGGTGATGATATTGAACATGACGATCGTGTCTTCAAATTCCACCAGGCCCTCCATGGGATCTTCGCCTGCCACCCACGCGAATTTGCATCAGCCAACAACATCAAACCTACACAAAACGTCATGTACAATGATGAAATTACAGTTACCAGTAAAGGCCTCAAATTCACTACCGCTCTGTGGGGGACAGGACCAGATTCCCTATTTGCAATGCCTCTTTATTGTTACGATGAGACTCCTTCTTGCCCATTGGGAATCCATATGAGATGGGTCGGGGGAGACATTTATGCCAGAACAAATGTCACGAACACGATTTATTTGCCCACGGAGCAAGCTCCTCTTCCGAGCCAGGACGACATTTTTGCTACGCATAAAATATCTCACCTTCAAGACTGCCTCCGTGTCCTCCATCGAAATTCCATACGGATCCCTAAATTTATCTACGACAAAAACGGGACAATGAAGGCTAGGCAACTAGAAAGGACTAAGGTCTCGCCGGGCTTTCTCTGGTGTGAAGAACGTGATCTTTTAATGACACAAGGAGCTAGATTCCCTTTAGCTTGTGTGACTTATCAGATAATTGAGCAACAGACCAAGGTGGTTGTTCTGGTTTTGGGGCTCGATCACATGGAAAAGCCTTGGCTGTGTTTAGTTGAGCCTGGTTCGAAACTGGCGCCATCGCATCTAGAAACAAGACGAGGATATCTTGATAGAATATGTCGATCGGCAAGTCAAGAACGATTTGAGAATATCCATTTCGTTGCCAATGCTACTTGGGAGCACAAAACACAAACCTGTGAATTTAACATAAATGGTCGATTCCGAAATCCTGGTGACTGGCTTGATGGCCAACCCATTTTCAGCGTCAGCCTAGAAGCACATATCGTCCCGGTGTCTCCAAATATGGCAAACGTTGATAACATAGTTTCAACTCCCGGCACTGGGACAAACCTTGTATTAGATCTGACAACATGGATAGGGGCAATGGATAACTCAGCCCAAGGCAACCACTTAACAACTCATCCTTTGCCCGTTTCTCTGACCACTTCTGGGTTAGAAAGGGAGCGGATGAGAGCACAACGCGACCCGAGTATTCCAGCTAAAGCTTCTCAATCGCTTAGAAGTTTAATAGGCCAGTATATCTCTAAGAAGATAAGCAACCCCCCCATTATATCACAACAAACGGAATCGACAGATACACATCCTATCGCCACCCGGTCACCAAATCGGATTTCTGAGCATTACTCATCTACCGTAAACCCAGTGCCCAGAAGAGCTAGGCATACTAACCCCCTAGGATCAGATAAAATTCAGTATCGAGAATCCCGTGGATTGTCCGTTGTTACTGGTACCGACGTAATTTCTACCTCTCACTCCGTGCATACCTCAAGCACAGTTGGTTACACTGGCATAGGGAATACACCAAGGCAGTTTAAAACCGCTAGTTCCATGAGCATATCAGAAAATAATTTCATATAAGTTTATTGGGATTTGGCTTAGATTACCCCTATCCAGAGATTTAGCCACAATACCTTATATAATACCCCAATCAGATAAGAGCATTCCATCATAAACCTACTATTATTTTACGCATATTTAATTGATTCATCCCACAAATGCTTAGAGGGCTGCCCGCCTACAGCCACCGGTATATATATTGAGTGTATATAAGGAGCCCTCGAAAGAGGATAGGACAAGCGTCCTTAGACCCCAACCACTACACTGTTACTTTATGGTAGCGAATCCGCTGCTTCTAACATTTATTCTACATGTGACATAAACCAACGGTCCTCTTGGCAATTTCTAAGACCCAAGATTTCCCCCCGAGGCATCCTGTCACGAGGTAGAACCAAACAGTATGGAAACAACTTCGTTGTTCCGCGAGGAACTCTAAACCTGTCTAGCGAACCTACGGCTCGTATATACAAACATGTTTTTTGTTCTGGGCGTCACGTTTAGGATCCTGATACCAGGCACCTAAGATGTACCTAGGTAGTCAAGTGGCGTAGTTAGGGTTTTAAGTAAAAGCTTCTCACTAGCTTATTACCTGTTACATCACGGGTGATGTATTATGCTAAAGGGATAACTGAAAGTTCTAGCCTAGATTGAGTAGTAGTATGGATGTCCGTGTTTAGAGGGCAGCTGACGACGATCTCATACGACTAACATCTCTTGTAAATGACCTATATATTGTAGCAGAGCGTTTTAGTGTCTGTATATAACGACGTGGGGTAAACCGGAAGCATACTCTAAAAACTTTAGCTCTTGAGGTTAATTCGGTAGTTTTATATTCGTAATAACAGGTACCTAGGTACTTAAAGCTTGCGACAGGCTTTGAACGCCTGAATGATACGTAGGTATCCCAGGCGGAGAATGGAATTTCTGTAGTAATGACCGTTCCATGCTAATTGAGTATACCATATAATACCCTGCCGACCATTTTCTATGTTTTTTATTCCTCGATTCGAGCTTGTGTGTCGATATATCCGGACGATCAGCGCCGGAGATCCTTTATGGAACGCACTAGGTATTATGATAAAGTTAGAAACTGATACATCCCGAAAGCGATAAAGAAAAATATTACTAGAACCACGTACAGTCAATCTTGCGTTTTGGTAGCGGCATTCTGTGATGGAGGATTAGCTACCTAGCCGTTTAATATAAAGCTCGATGTTTCGGGGTTGCTTACTACCATGAACAACCGTGGAACTGTCGGAGGGACCGGCATAATACTTGCAACTAGAGCCCTCCTTATGGGAGCAGTTGTTTGGGCAGTTACAGGCAGCATCTATGGAAGGTTAAATATTGCGTCGAGGTTTCAAATTCATTAAAGGTCAAGCGAACCTGGGTTAGTAGCGATGAGAGCGGCGCCCATAGCCTGGCCAGCGAAAAGGAGCGCAATGGCGGAGACGATGGCGGTTCTAAAGTACATCTTGAATAAATATCTCTAGTGATATTGCTAGGAGCAGTCTTGAAGCTTTATGTTTTGTGGGTAATTGAGTAGATGTTGGTGAAGAAGAGAAGTCGACAGGACCGGTCCCTCTTGGTCCTCTTATACTTCCTAGCTCGATTATTTACTATGCATCTCTTACATATCTACCTAGTCTATGAGGCAAATTTTTCTTTCGTTTCTTCAAATATCACACCGCCTGTATTGTCATGAACTTTCAGGCGCCTGCATCTCATCAGATTTCTTTCCCCTGTCATGAGTGCTCTAAAGACCGATATAGGGGGGTAGTATGATACGATGTGGCTACACGGTGGAATGAGACATATCATCTTCGTGCTACCAATAAATATTACTAGTGTAGAATATAATAATCATATCAACCATGGGGGCCGTGCGTGAAAGCGACAATTTATGGGAGGAAAAGCTCTAGAATCTCCTATAATTTACTTATACCTCAAAGTCACCATTGGCTGCAAGGCCTCTAAGTAGTTCATCATTGTGATCTCTACCTGTTTAGCTCACTGGATAGACAAATACCTAGCATTAGTAGCCTGACATAGTTTAATTATGAAAATTTCACTCATGGGCATTTAAATCCACTATATACTGTGACAAGTAAAAGATAATATATGCGCGAAGTTATTGATCACCGATCGTTCGACAAACGTAATCCCAAATGTGTATTGGGAGCGAGCTGAAATTAATAAGTCGTAAGATAGAGGTAGTACGGCTTGGAGACTCTTGCGGGTCTTAGCACATGTACCGACTTAAAATACCTCAATGAGTAGTACTAATTGGAAAGTCTTGCTGGCGAATCTTTCTAATTAAAAAACGTTGGGAATCGAGGCCGATACCTTAGAGGTTTTAGATGTCCGTGGCGTCTAAACCTCCGGCGGTATAAGGGGTCAGTATCTATTAGATAGGTAGTCAGCCCTGCCAGGTGCCCAAGGAAAACACCAGTTACTAATGCATAGGTCGTTTTTACGATCTTAAAACCATTAATTGGATTATCATGAATTCAATAACCTCCTTTGACATCCTAATCAGCATATTGGCTATGTGACATACTGGTTCTTCTGAATTGATCATGTAAAAAGCTTTTTAGCCCCTTAATGGGATAAACTTGACAACTACGCTACGAATTTACGCGAACTCGAAAACTACTTAAATCGACTATAATCCTAGTTTTAATTCGATGGCAACATGGATGACTTTTGAAACTGTTAGGTAGTTGACGACGATAAAGCCTTATATTACTAACTGTCCTTATATTACTGTCCTTATATTACTAACTCTCCTTTCTAAGCAACTTATATCCGTAGCGACGGAGATCTTCAAATTGCCTAGTTACCATTTTCCTCAGTGCCATTCTGCTCAGCGGCAGAGCCTACATCAATTTCGTCTTGCTCCGCGGCAGAGCCTGGGCTAAGACGAACGCACTACATTTGCGCAAGTTAGTAATTAAAATCCGTACTGCCGAGGCATTTTAACGATAACGAGCTTCCTTCATCTGCTCAAAGGAAGGTAGAGGTGAACCAAGATAACTATGGGAGTTACATACAACTTTTGTGCCTTTAACCTTCTGGCAATCTATAATAAAAAATTAGTTCACTGTCAAATATAATATTCGATTTCGATTTCTCGGTATCACTTACGCCCAAGGTAGATTATATGGCGGAGAGGACTAGAATAGTACCTGCATTTGTTGCCTTCTCTCTTCAGGCAGTTGCCCGGGCAGTTGCAGGCAGCGTCTGCAATAGATGAGTGAGTTAGACTGATATCAAGCTTTGGGTTCAGGAAAGGCGAACGAACATGGGTCGGCGGCGGTCATAGGATTCATGTCCTCACTCATGGCCTGACCGGCGAAGAGGAACACAAGAGCGGAAACGATAGCGGTCTTGGGATACATCTTGGATGGATGTCGTCGAAGTGGCAATGGAGATGGAAGTAGTCGTAGATTTCGATGTCTTATTTTGCGTTGGGTGTCTGGATGTCGATGGAGAAGAAAACTCGACAACGAGCTGTCTTTGAGGTCTTCTTTATAATCGTGATCCTCAAGATGTTTCGTATGTAACATTGTAGCCTTGAGTCAGAAGATGACGAGTTTCTTCAAGTCACCAAATAAAGTTAAAGTTATATCTGTGTTAACCAGTTGCTGTAAAGCTACAAAATTGCCATATCGGGAATTCCGCGCGTCTTGGGAGTATTTACAAGACGATTAAACGTTACGAATACGGCATATATGAGTACATTCCGGTGAGAATTGGAGTCATCTCTCAGATGACCCTGTAGGTTACGTAGATGCCATACTGCGTGTCAGGATTCTAGATGAGACATCTAGGACAAATCACATGCATGTATATACGAGCCATGGGCTCGCTAGATAGGTTAGAGTTCCTCGCGGAACAACGGAGTTGTTTCCATGCTGTTTGGTTCTACCTTGTGACACTGCGAAAGTAGGCCTCCCAACTCAGCCGCGAATCCTAGTAGTGATTCCTTTGATGCGGTTGTATCAATGGAAAGATCAACTTTTCAACGATAGGTACTAACCAAAGTGGTGCTTATTCATCAAAATAAAATTCAAGAATTCTATACTAAAAAGTATCAATGTTTAGTACCACAACATATAAATTTGTGTGTAAAGCTGCCTATTAGCCATGTTGGGTTAAACATCCCCATTTAGCCGTAAGTGCTATTAAATACCTACGGAAGTCCCCATCAAAAGTTTTGTCCATAGGCCAGCCCCTGCAGCTTTGACCAACTTTAACAGGGCTTGGCAACAGTTGTAAGCCATGGAGTATATGTACTATCCATATTACACTTTTACACTTTTACATATTATTATCTTAAAGCTAAAATTGAATATGTTGCAAAAGGTAAAGTTTTATATACATTCATAATCTTGGCTGCCGCATGGTGTCAGGCCCCAGACAGCTGCATCAAAAGCTGTCAGGTGGCACCTATGGACAAAACTTTTGATGGGGACTTCCGTAGGAGGCAGTAAATTGAGTAACGCGAGTACGGGGACTAAATTCACTTGTAACTCAAGTCTTACGTATACCTAATGTATGAGGGACTTGACCTTGACTTTAACTTCGTCTACCTACTTTAACTTCAAGTGCTTTGTAGATAATAAATTAAAGTTTAACTAGCCGATATTAAGCCGTTTGACTTGGAACTGTGAGTCACCTGATACTAATCCGTATTGGAAGTGCAGTTGAAGTTTATTAAGGTACCTAGGTACCTATGTACATGCGTGCCCCACAACTTGGATTCGCTGCCAAGTTTTCAAGTTCCCCTCACTGCAAATCATTCTTCCATTCTCAATTTAGAAACGACTTCATGCGCGTTTGCAAGTCAGATCCCCGAAGCACACTGGTTCGATCCTTTTAGCGCCTAAAATTCTGTCACCATTTTCTCCCTTTTTTTCCCATGCCTGAATACCCACGTGCAAGATGGAGATTGGCCTCGACGAGCTGATCGAGTCCCTCCTGACAGAAATAGCCTTCTCTGGCGTTCGAGGTGAGTAAAACATTTGAATCTACTAAGTCTCTCGACGATTCCCATTAGGATTTGTTGAGAGCTTCTCTATTTAATAGCCTCAACCAAAGCTTACTTATTTAACCATCAGGATGTTCGGTTTCTACATTATTGGAGAGAATAGACGCTTTTTATAGTGGTGCTAAAGAACAGACCAGTAGTTCTGCAGCAGAGCATCGCGATGAAGGACATAAGCCAAGCGATACGCCACAGACCCGCCAGGATGCTCGCAGCTATGATCTTTCCATGTGCTCAAAAGTCTGGGGATGGCTAGTATCAAGGGCAGACGTCTCTGTGGGCACTAACAGGCAATTCAACCACTGCAAGCTAGAGGAGATACTCGCGCTTCCGGAAGAAGAAGAAGACTTGCCTGCAGAGGTGGTTGATATACCCAAAAATCAAACTTCGACTCCAGTAAATGAGCGTCAGCGCCCTTTAAAGGGCCACCGAGGGCCGGAAGGAACTACTTCGAAGTATAGGCCTCGTCTTCATGTTTCAGATGAACGACAATGGAAGACGATCGCTGGCCATGGCCCAGATCTTAAACGGCTACCACTATTTGAATGGAAAGCACTCGTTGATATTGCATCCGTGAGGGAGAAAGGTATTCTTCAAGGCGATTTGGTCCGATTGTCTGGCCAAGACAAGAGATCTCTCCCCACGCGCACGGACGCTCTAGCAAAAAAGGGCTACATCATCAAACAGTCTATTATTCTTCGAGGATGTCGCTCCAGTAAACTGTGGCTTGCTCGTTTTGCCGATAACGCGAAAGAAAACCGCGACGGCCTCAATCTCGAGAAGCTTGACTTATCAAAAGAGACTCTAACTAAAGATCTTCGCCCGGTTCCGTTTAGCGCTAGCTGGAATGGCGAGAGACTCGATTATATAGCCATTGCACAAGCATTTAATGCTGTCATCAAAGCATGGGGCATTATGAGATACTGCGATGTTCGGACTAAGTTGGATGCTAATCGCGTGCCACAAATGAGAGCCCTAGCGAAGACGTCTCGGTGGTTTACCAGCATAGGAGCAGTCACGTTTGTGGCAGCAAGATTCGCGAACGGCCAGAAGCTCTTCAAAGACTGTGTCAAATTCATCAGAGAACCGACGGCTGAGGAGTGGAGAGTCTTCCGAACTACGCCAAGTGCTCATATTAGAGTCCCCTCGGCGCGACTAGGAAAAAGAGGGCAAGCGTCGCGAGCTCGATATAATAAGGGGGTTAAGTTCAGTCCTCATAGTCAAGTCAAATCCAAGCAGTCATCAAGCCAAGAGCGCCAAACTAAATCGTCAGATAAAGAGCAATTGGTACCATCTTTGTGGACTCCATATAAGCCTATGGTCAACACAACGTTCGAGATAATCAAGAGAGCTGGCTCCAAGGGGTCCTCGAATCTCGAAATCGGCCGCCAGACATTGGGACATAGTTACCGCAAGTACATTGCCGCACTTACCGGGACACTATCATTGCCCAATTCCCAGCCCCCTCATCTACAGCACCTTAACGTTACCTCACAGCTTAACCGCATAGGAAAGACCATGACCTACCAATTCTTCGCAGATGGCGAAGCAGGCAACTCCGTTGCCGACAACAGCAACGAGAATAAATCTAATGACCAAGAAGGAAATTTGACTGGCCGGATTGTGGATGGACAAACTTCGCCATACGATATGATGATTCCGGGAGCTAGTTATGTGTATTCGCAGCCCCAATCATCTAAATTTGCGTCAGAACCTGTCTCACTCTCCCACCTTCAAGATACCCTGCTAGCGCCAAGACCAAAGAAGGGTAGGAAGCGGAAGAGAGGTTCGCACGAGGAACCCACGAAAGACACGAGCGGTGATAGGCAAGAACATCCCAATAAAATGCCTAGAATAGAGGAGCCACCACCGGAAGATATTCAGGGAGATGAAGAGATGACAAACGACAACCAGGGAGTACATCTAAATGTGAACCAGACTATTCCCGTACCTACTGCTATTCTACAACAGCCTACCCCTGACCTAGGGTCACCAGCTTCTCTTGCACCGCTTGCACCGCCTCCGCCAATTTCTCGACCACCTGGTGTATATCGTGAGCCCGACAACTTGTTAGACCCCCCTGGAAAGAAGAAGGGGCGACGGAAAAAATCGCTCGTCCTCACATTAAAGTGTAATTCACTCAAGCCTTGGTTGGAACGTTTATATAATAGTCAACCAGCAAACTCTGGTGAACGTTCTTCGAACCAGCCTGATTCCCTGCCTACGAATCCGACGCAAGGCTCACCACAAGCTGAGATTGAAGGCAACTCTACCTTATTGGCAGAACCAGAACCAAACCAGGCTAAGCCGAAACCGACAAAACGTGGCGGTAAGACAATATTTAGGTGTGATAAGTGCGGCAATAGTTGGAAGAACCCGAACGGCTTGGACTATCACCTTAACAAATCTCGTACTGCTTGCAATCCCGCTTATGTCCCAACCCCGCTGCCACCTCCCAGGCAACTTGCGAAGCCAAAACCAAACCCCAATACGATATCGTCACAAGCATCCAATGACCAGGAGCAGAGCCAGGGCTTCGATGATCTCCGACTGCCGGACTTAGCTCGCAAACCATCACAGCGTAACTCTGATGTTGGAAGCGGCCGGCCCCTGCTACCTCCTAAACGTATTCGCCTTAGTGAGAATCTCGTACCTAGTGAGAATACTAGTGGTTCAGTCGCGCAAGGATATGTTGGAAGCTCTATCGTATTGAAAGACATAGAAGCTTATGATGTTATTGATCATCGAAAACGAAGAGAGAATAGCCAAGCAGCTTTGCCCAACCCTTACGGCTCGGTTGCTCCAATACACCAGGCGAACCAAATGTTATTCCAGGTTACACCCAAGAAACAGCCTCAAGCTAGCGGACCCGATATTAGGCAAGGACAGGCCAGTGCTATTACACGAGAGAGTTCTCAGAAACAAGAAAGCAACCCTGCCCTAGCACGCGACCGCGACCGAAAATCTAGAGCTGAGAGACCCGAGTCTTATACTACAGTCCATCAACCTCATTCGGAACAAACGGACGCTAGGAACGGGGAGCCTACGCCATCTAGTTTCAATCTACGGCCTACTTCACTAAAATCGATCACACCTATTAACCATCATATACCCGAAGCAGCTGTCCCGCCGGCCGCCATCAGTCACCCTCTTAATGACAATGGGAGAAACAATATTCCGGGTGCTGGGATGGGCGACAGCCAACTAACCAACGAAGCTACACTGCCGAACCAATTGACTCCGAAAAAGTCCCGTAAGTCATCTACACTTACTGTGGGCACGGTACGTAAGGATCGAACAACCGGTATCATCCAACATCTTCTTGACAAGAACAACGGTGTCTTCCCGGGACAACGATCTTTGTACTTGGCTATGGTATCCCTCTGGGTCAAAAAGTACAGTGATATCGAGCCCCCCGACTGGAAGGTATGTCAGAATGTAGTAAATAAGATGGAGAAAGCCGGTGAACTATCACAGCAACGCTTCTTTTTCCTCGACGATAATGGCAAGCTTCAAGAATGTTGCGTACTTGCTAAGAAGCAGAAAGATGGACCTACTATCACAGATTTAGCTGCTGATCCCAAAGTGGTCATGGTTAAGGAGAAGATGAGAGAAATGCACCCGGAACCGTATATCCCAGAAGAGTTTTCGCTGTCTCAGGATGAGAGCGAACTCTTCGATGCGCTTGCATCGAAATATAGAGAATCCACGCCTTCTAACGGACCTCGAAAGCAATTTGGAAAGTCGAGTGTGACCGAAGATATTGAGGTATTACAATACCCAGCTTATGTTGTCAATGATGCCTCTACACACATAGCCGGCTCAAAGCGGCCCGCCGAAGTAGACGAATTGTCGGATGTGACACCCGCGAAGAAGATTCGTGTGGATATTAGCACTATGGATAAGCCCAGGAAAGCGCCCAGGCCGAGGAAACGAGGCGAGCAACGTGAGTACTGGGCAACTGCGAAAGTTGCGAAATATATTTGGAACCAAAAGCAGAATCCAGGTGAAAAATGGGGCCAGAGACACGCCAATCTTCAAGACTTTGCTACAGGAGCATGGTCAGCTTCGCCCCAAGAGGCTACCTCCATACGACCTAGTATTGATAGGATCCTATCTTCACTTCGAACTTCCCGCGAAAACGCGTTAGTATCTATGAGACATGTTTCCACTAGCGGGCCTAATGGCACGGAGGGACCCCCGAAGAGAAAGAATGTTAACTCACCTGGCGAACTTCTTTGGAGCCATGATTCGGCAGGAGGTGAAAATGAAGAATATTGTGATAAAATGATGCTTGACGTAGCAGAAAGGGTCGAGAAAGACCCAGTCGATCGATTTGTGAAACCTTCTATTTCTACGTCGTTTGTACCTGAAGATTCAGGATCTGAGGAAGAAGACGACGATATATCGTTAACCGAAGTACATCACGCAGACATTGTGGAAGAAAACTCCAGCTTCCCCTCTGAAGGGGTTAACACTACGTTCGCAAAGAGCAAAACGATTCGGAATACGCGAACTGGCTGCTGGCCTTGGCTACCGGTCAGCTTTTTCGAGTCAAACTCCACGAGCTTCACATTGGCCGGGGCCATGCCAGAGGCTCGATGGTTCCAACGAGCGAACTTGCCACAGAATTCCGGGGATATTATCAAATCTCTCCGAGGGAAGTCCCAATTCAATTCTTGGGCAGACCCCTCCTACGGAAAGTTTCTACGAGAAGTGAGCATAATCGAGAGATGGGAACAATCAGCTGAAGGGTCCCAGATTCTCTTGCACGGATCGGTCGCACCAGATTATATATTCATTTCCCTCTCATCTGAAGAGTCAAAGGCAAATATGAAACCCATTACTCTCGAGTGGCCCAGCAAAGGCCAGTATACCGTGGATAATATACCGGAAGAGATCAAGAACGCGTCTCCCGACGATGAAAATGCGGGATTGTCGATAATCCATCGCAACAGGGGTAGACCAAGAAGAGAACATTTTGTTGAATCACCGCCTAAAGAACAAGCTAAGCCCAGCGTAAAGAAGCCTTCAAGGAAGTCACAAACAGTCCCAGAACCCCAAGCAGAAGTTAAGTATAAGACACGATCACTCAGACCCATACCTGTCCAGCATCGGGGCCGCGTGAGCATACCACGCCCGAATGAGGATAATCTTGGCCTCAGCGGCGAAACAGAAGTCATAGCCGCGTTCGTGGTATTCAAAACACTCCTAGGTGGGATCGATAGGAAGGCAGATATTGGCTCAATACTGAAGGCTTTCCCTAAATTCTCCCACTCAGCGCTAAGAAAATTCTGGCCTAGAGTTAGTAGAGAACGGAAGACATATATTGATGCTCTGACGGAAAAATTTCAATCGGCATTTTTAGAGGCTTATGAAGCGGGGGAAGTTGAGCCTCTTAATTACGACGACATCGACTCCTACGATTGGCAATCTCTAATCATCTGGGCTACTAAATTAGAGACGCACGACAAGATAGAACTTCCTGGATCCCGACGCGATCTAGAAGAGACCTATTCCCTTGAGGATGTAGGCAACGAAGCTACGGATTGGAGAGAGACCTGGTTTCAGAACTTAGCTTCTATCTACTCGCGAGTTGAAGCAACGTCTGGCGAGCCTATTTCAATTCCTTTGAGTCACGATATTTCAGCTGAAGAAGAAATCACTGGTCGAGCGAGGTCGTGGGTTCGCTCTTTGTGTGTAACCCCAATACGGGGTGCAAAGATGCCCGAGGAGATTCGTGCGAAGCTCTTAAGTTTAAGTGGCGGGAATGAAGCAGAAACAAACAAGCTACTCAAGAAAGTAGTTGATAAGCTTATATCAGAAAGGGTTGCGTCAAGAAGCAAAGGGAAGATATTGGGTCAGTCCTTGCGACTGCACGGAGTCTTTGCGAAGCACCTTGAGAAACCGGCTACCGTCGAGAAATTCGCACAATCTGCCAATTTCAAAACACTACTAGATGAGAGCTTTCGCAAAGGCGAGGGGTTTGTTGTCCCGTACGTTGCAGATGACGGGACAATCATGGCGATTTTCAACCTCCAAGCGCAAGGCCACATCCGCGCAGAAGCCACAGACATCCCTAATATTCCCTTTGGGTTTGAGCCAGGCAATTACGACGGCCGGACGTTCCCGAAAAGTTACTATCACTTCAATGTAATGTTATCACCTACGGCGAGCTACGTATTTAACGAAGATCTGCCAGTTCTCCAGCAAGCAGGGCAGGTCGGGGTACCCCAACAGGGACCTCTAAATGAGATACCGATCTGGGTCGATTTCTTCGGAAATCTCGACAAGACCCGCTGGATTACATATCTCAGCATGACAACTTTAGCGCTCGCAACTAAAGGCCCATTGACACCGCAAACGGCAAGCGTGCTGCTGAAGCCGTTCGTCGAGCCGTTCGAGGCCAAGTTAATTATGGATTGGATTGATGGTCTAGGCATCTTGGAGCGCTATGGCTCAGGGCAAAGCGCCACGGTGGGGGAGTGGTGGTGGTTGGTCGTGGGCCGACTAGCACTTGATGTGATAGGAAGAGGTGTTTCCCAAAGCTAGGATTGTTAAAGAGAGCAATTCATTGTAAATTAAACCAACGCAAATTTAGTGCACGGCATGGAAAGGCGGCATATCAGGGCGTTTGATGAGAGTGATATCCATCAGTTTTTTGCAAGCATTGCGAGACTTTTCTTGTTAGGATCTCGGCAGCGTCGAACAGTAATAGTCAAGTTTATAATAATGCATAATTTCGTTTAAAGAGGTAGTAGCAGTGCATTCGTGGGACTTGAATGTGTATTTTCTTAGTACCTGTTATATTTATCTCGCTCGTCTCAAGCTACGGGGAGTTACGTTGGTGGTAGGACAATAGGTATCATATGATGTAGCTGCGGGCCGTAGGTTTGAGACAACGGCCCGTGTAAACAGCGATTCCATCATGTTTAACGCCGAATTCTTGGCTCTTTTCTTTTCGAGTTAAAACTTTGCTAGAAGTTGTCGACTTTATAGGGAATATTAATTACCATACTCGATGAAGTAATTAGGCGTTGGGATAGAATGTAGTAACTTACAGCCGTGGCATTAACGACTTCCAACTAACCACCCAGTTCTTCAACCACCATCTCATCATCCATCCTCAATATTATAGACCGCATTAAAGAGATAACTTCAATTGCAAGTTCCCCATATGTTTCCGTAAGCTTAAATTCGAGTAGCTCGTTTCGGGTAGCATCCGAAGCCTTAAATTCAATCTCTAACTCAGTTCTTGGTATCACTACCCCCTAGTTATCACATGTAACTCAATTCAATCACATACGCCTTGATCCCCCGCCCGTAACGCCAATTGCCCATGCTCGCTCCCCTCTAACCACCACTAACGACCTATAAGGATCTTCGTTAACATCGCAATTAATATCACCACCAACGACACGATGGCGTAGTCGACCCACGGCGGTACTCCCGCGTTCGGATCCACCCTCCTTGTGGTTTGCAGCGGTGCAGGCTGTCCTACTACAGCCCCTGGCAGCGGTATCGTTCTCGTCGGCGTCGGAACCCCCTGTGCGGGCCTAGGAGCAGGCGGCGGATCTTCCCTCCTCGGCACCACAGTCTGCACAAAGCCTTCCGCCAACTCCGCACTCTCCGCGTCCTCCTCCTCCTTCTCGCCCTCGCTACTAGCCGCGGCTCTCGCCTTCTCCATCTCGTCGCGGAACCCCATCTTCAGCTCGGCAGGGACCTCGTCCTCCTTCCTCTCGCCATCGACCTCGGCGCACCGCTGCTCGCACTCGGCGATGATCTCGGCGTTCGTCCTGGCGCACACGGGACAGCGCCAGCCGCGGCTCTCGGCAGCGAGCTTGCGGCGCACGGCGTCGCTGGTATCGAGGCCGCCGAGCTGGCCGCGCGCGTCGGTCTCCATGAAGGAGCGCAGCGCGACCAGCGCCGTGCGCACCCCCCACGCCGGCTGCCACGACTCCTCGTGGTGGCCCGAGATGCTCAGGCAGATCTCCCGGTTGGCCTCGAAGCGGCCGCTCGGCGTGGCGAACCGGAACGACGGCGGCCGGTGCGGGTACGCCGGCGGAAGCACGATTCGCCCGTGGTATATCCCCTCCGCGAAGGCGGATTTCGGTGGCCCGCGCAGCGTGAAGTGCCATTCGAAGAGGTCGGATTCGAGGGGCGATGCCGTGTAGTCTGGGGAAGGGGAGGCGGAGAGCTCGGCTGCTTCTTTTACTGTTTATTTGGGGGTTCGATTAGTAGGCATGTATGTCATTTGGCGGTGCTGGAGGGGGGAGGTAATGGTCGTGTACGTACATATGCGCCTGATGGTGGGCGACTTGGAATTGAAGGTAGAGGTAGCCATGATGGCTGATGATGTTTATAAGTGGTCTCTCTTATTAGAGGTAGAGGGAGTAGAGGGGGGTTATCGATTACATATGTAGAGCTTATTACGGGATGGAAAATAGGTATAGTTTAAACACCGACAGAGTTAAGACGTGCGGTATTTTAGGTTAATAAGAGAGAGTTTGACTGGTTATTTCTGGTTACTGGTTCTAATAAAACGAGGCCAGATTGTCTTGATACACCTAGAAGTCACGAATTGATGGGATGCATGCACTGTATAATACAAAGGACAAGTACATATATAGATGGGACCCTTGTTGCGATGAGACGAAATACGTAGTCCTACGTAAGCCACTCAGCCACTGCCGAACTATGTAATAATAACGCCGAAGACACGTGATGATTTTCACTTTCTGTCATATTCAAGTCACGTGCGTTGTGACTTCTCACACCAGAGTTGGGTAACTGCCTACCTCAACCAGCAACCTCTTGCAATAATATGGGCAACTTCCATATTATACCATTAAGGAAATAGTGTTTCCTTCCAGACTGATAAAACACATAAGGACTATAATTGCTATTACGATTGTTTGTCAGCAGTAGACTATTCACCATAGAAGCAAGCCCCTTTCCTCCTTAAGACAAACAATATAAGTCACCTACGGCGGCTTCCACCCTAGATGTAGTACATTCTAGAACAATTAAAATCTATATTGTGCGCTTGCCCAGTTAACAAAAGTGATTTACCCGTTTGGTTGTTCTAAGCGATAAATTGGTACCTACGACATATATATAGGGAAGTCGCTCCGGGATACATGTAGTTAGTACAGAGCAGTAACGGCGACTTCCCAGAGAAGGGGGAAGGTGCGCTAAAGAAGATATGGTTGTTTGGTTATCGTGCCTACCTAAGGTACCTGACCTAATTCCGACGCGCCTTCCCTTAGATATAATTCCTTTTCCGCCGGTCGAGTATATAAACAAGACGTCCCCCGCGGTCACCACCGTCGGTATCGACTTTGAAGAAACAAACTCCGAATAGGTAATTTTCAACTTCATTCTTATCCGTCCGTCCCTTCTCCAATACATTAGTCAAGCCTTCTACGGGAATTTCTACCCTTCTCTTTTTGCACTTTGGGGAGGAACCATGGCGCCCAAGGTGAGCGGTACTCCCGCCGCTCCTCTGAGATGCTTGAAGTGTATGGCCACATTCGCCACTCAGCGTGGCCTATATCTTCATCAACAGAAACAGGGGCACCTAGCCTGTGGTTTTTGCAAACTGTCTTTCCATGATATAACGGCCCTAATCCAACACCGAGCAGATGTAAGTCCCCCTTTGAATGGCAACACGCTCATCATATAACTCACTAAACACTCACTCATATAGGACCATAAAGCGGAACAAGACCTTCCTTGTCCCGGTTGTCGCACCAAGTTTATCTCTGCAGGAGAATGGATTCGCCACGTCGAAAGGGGCGAGTGCCATGCAATCTTTCCTTCGGATATATCCGGAAATATTGTCCAAGCTGTGGAGTCCATCTCGAAGGCATTAGCCGAATCCAAATTCGAGGATGTAGACTACACCGTCAACTCAGGCAAATCGTATGCTGAGATCAGTGACACATGGAAAAACGACGAGACTTGGAACAGGGAGCAGAGCCTTGACGCACGAGACAACCCCGAGCGATTTCCGAGAACCGCAAGGCAAGAGTTCTACCAAGGCGGATCGAAGCAGACTGACCTGCTGACGGGAGATGATGGGGCCAATGTTGAACAGCGCCCATTCAATGCTTGGGCTCAGAAGAAGAATCTATTCCCGGAGAAGGCAGCATCTCGCGCTGTACCACCTCCGCCATCTCTCCTTGAGAATATGACAAGACCGTCCCCCTCGACCCAACCTACTGGACAACGCATCATTGACCCAGACCACCCGGGCTTCAACGCCGGATTGTTTTGGAATCCCATATTAGAGGTTTTCAAATGCCCTCACAAGGATAAATTTGGCAAGGAATGCGGGTGAGTGCTTGACCATTCGGATCACCACCTCTGAACGAAGTGCTAACGTTGTTGTAGCTCGAAGCTAAAGAATTCAAAAGGGTTGATTGCCCATCTAAGGTCACCAGCACACACCAGCCCTCGTTTCCAATGCCCGGGATGCACAAATGTATTCACATCTGGTGGTTCATGGGCCCAGCACGCAGAAAACGTGAACGAATCCAAGTGCCGTATTCGAAACACACCATTTTATAGGCAAGCGCTAAATATGATTACCAATGGTGCCTTGGATATCGATACCCTCATCAAGCTTGCAAACGATATGGCAAAGGTGAAGTTTGATGCCGCTTGGGCTGCATCTAAGCAGCGTGATGAGTCTGGTCCTGTGCCAGGCTCGGAGGCGTGGGTAAGGGAGAAGGAATCTGAGGCCTCCAAGTCTCAGTCAGACTCGGAGAAGGCCCAACCAGACTGGTCCAAGTCTGAATCAGGTACAGGAAAGAAAATTACCCTCGAGGAGTACGATTGGTGGTAGCCTTACGAATGAGGCTCTCGGAACTCAGTGGCAGGATACAGGCTTCTTGCGGATACGTTGGTATAAGTGGACGGTGGTCTCTCAACAGAACACTTGGTTTCCACTCTGAGACAGCTGGTTGCTCAACCAATCATAGTTTGATCTCCAGGCATGATGGTCGGGTTTGCGTTGATTTCTATGCGTTGATTTGCGATTTGCGTTGGTAATTCCGGCTTTGCGATTAGATTAGGTAGTTGAGATCAACAGCTTGATACCTCATGATACCTCATAGTCCTGACTATTAGTTAGCAGAGGTCTACTGTAACTTGCCAATATACGCGATGATTTCTCTCAGCAATACCCCCTCGGCTTAGTGATGTGATATTTAATGAGGACTAACTAGATCTCAACCACTCATCAATACTCTTAGACGCTCTAGCCAATCAAGTAATAAGAAACAACCCCATACTTTACCGTAAGGCATTTTATCCATGCAGATTATGATTGAATTGCCCGCATATCACTCTACACAATTCAGCCGCCAAGTTCTAAACGTACCTAGGTAGAGCTAATTACCAGAGTAGGTAACCCATCCCTTGTTGCGAGTCGACATTTCTTACTCTTTCTACATAGTTTCGATGCACAAAGCATTCGTGTTGATCTTATATTACTCTGTAATCTAATACAATAATTCGAGTCTTTCTGGTATCGCCATATGAGCCCTAGGAGACACGTTTGCTCCCGCGCTTAAGGGTGTCGCAACTCGCGACTAGGTTCTCCGCCTTCCCCAACTGCAGCGCGGGTAATCTATTGTTACGATGGGCATTGGCGTGGTGTTGAACCCTGCATATTCATATATTGCCCAGTCGGCTGGTGATCATCTTTACTGAGAAGGGGGTCGGCAGATGCACCCTCACGCGTGAATTAGACTCTGATTACCAGGTCGACGCCATGACGGTAGAGAGGGGCCCGGTACGGTTGGGGGCATTTATATAGGCAGCCGCCCTATTTCAACATCACCTCCGATCTATCTGGCATCCATCGCAATCTCGGCCATTTTTTAACGGCGATCATGCACGTACGCGTAGCGGTCACGGCCGCGTGGCTCCTTGCCAGTCAGGCGGTGGCTCAGGGCATCGGTAACATGGATGCGCACCCGCAGCTTACGACGGAGAAGTGCACCAAGGCGGGCGGCTGCGTCAAGCAGAACACGTCCATCGTCTTAGACGCGAGCTTCCACCCCCTACGACAGGTCGATGGGACCAGTAGCTGCGGGGGGTACGACGGTGCGCTGAACAAGGAGCTGTGTCCGGACCACGAGGCGTGCGCCAAGAACTGTGTTTTCGACGGCGCTGACTATGAGGGCAATGGCGTGCTTGCAGATAGTAACATACTTACGCTGAATATGTACGGAGAACGCGATGGTAAACTTGCGACGCTGAGTCCGCGCGTGTACCTGCTGGATGCGAAAGAAGACGATTATGAGATCCTACATCTCAAAAATCAGGAGATTAGCTTCGACGTGGATGTATCGAAGCTGATTTGTGGTATGAATGGCGCGATGTACCTCGCCGAGATGAACCAAACTGGAGCCCGCAGTGCTCTTAACCCGGCTGGTGCGAGGTATGGAACAGGATACTGTGATGCGCAATGCCCGAATCTGCCGTTTATCAACGGTGTGGTAAGTTTTACCGCGCCCTAAATCCTTCCTACCTTGAAGCTGATAGGATATCTATAAATCCAGGCCAATATCGATTCCCGAGGGGCTTGCTGCAACGAGATGGACCTCTGGGAAGCCAACTCGCTAGCCTCGGCATTCACAGCTCACGCATGCAGCCAGCCGGGCGTGTACGAGTGCGAAGGGGACCAGTGCGGTACCCTAGGCGTCTGCGACAAGTCCGGGTGCGCGTACAATAACTGGAAAATGGGCAACACAACTTACTATGGTCCTCGCACGCCTCCGCCGGGCTCATCGGATAACGGTAATTCGACGCGGTTTACCGTCGACACTACGCGCCCGTTCACGGTGACGACACAATTCCTCACGCAGGGGAATCCGCCAGATATTACCAAGGGGATCTTGAACGAAGTACGAAGACTATACATTCAGGATGGCGTGGTGATTGAGAATGCACCAGTGATAGCTCGTAACAGTATGTGATATCAGTTCCCCTCCCCTTTTTAGTCTACCCCGAGAGTTGGAATTTCCCGAGACACTTCCGGACCCCTAAACTCTCTAGTATCAAGTAAATGAAGCAGGCAATTATTGTTAACTGTTGCAACCAGTGCCTCCCGGAGACTCGCTGCGCATGTCGCACTGCCAGGCCGTAGCCGACAACTTCGAGAACATGGGCGGGCTGACAAACACCGGGCAGGCCCTAGACAGGGGAATGGTGCTGGCGTTTAGCATCTGGAACGACGACAAGCAGTTCATGAACTGGCTGGACGCGGGAAATGCTGGGCCGTGCACGTACGAAGAGGGTAACCCGGAGCTCATCTGGAGCAAGAGACCAGATACGAGCGTTACGTTTATGAATATTAGGTGGGGAGATCTGGGGAGTACTTATAACAACGGTACGGTATCGTGAGGGTATACGCTGTAATTGTAGGAGGGGAGTGAATAAATAGGTCGATAGGATATTATAAGTAAGGTATGAAGAAGTTAAAGAATTATTTCACCTATAAAATTTCCCAGGGTGATACCTGCGTTGAGTGAATAAGAGAATTGTGCTTCTCTATTTCATATTTTCTATACCTATAATCATCTCAACATTGGATTGATGCATGACCTCTAATACCGTATAAGCATTAGAAAAGCACTGCCCAGCCACAGCCAAGCCCCGTCCCTTCCGTCATCCCTGTCTCTCTCCTCCTTGGTCCACGTCAGGTCCACTTATAAGATATGTAGAGTCTGGTCCGCAGTCTGGATCCTGGAATTCGTCAGGGGATGTTCGTAAGCAACTCATCCCAAAAAGAAAAAAGTACCTAACCGTTAAGTGAATCGGTTTCATGATGTGATACTTACTTCTTTCTTTCTTTTGGTCGGCAGAACGTCACTTTTTCCTTTCGCTATCTATTTTATCCATCTCTCTTTTTGCTTTCTTTCTTTTTTTTTTGAACGGATTCGAATTATATGCCTGCGTTATTGTAACCTCATGGATAGAATCCCTTCGCCTTCGTTGCGATCACCTCCGAATATGGCTCGGAGATGGCTACGGCGCATCGAGCGCTATTGCTGCGGCGCCCTCACCTACTTTCCCCTCGCCTTCGTCTATAGTATCACCACATGGGCCGTATGGGTTGTCGTTAATATTGGCTCCAGCGCCATGTCAAAACCTGGTTGGATAGGTTCGTATCCCAAGTCTATTTTATATTTTATTTATTTTTAACTACGAGCCATGCGACGCGAGTTATAGTCTTTACGAGCTCGAGACTAAGATTGAGATTTAGAAGTTGAAGGCAGAATTAAAGCTTGCCTAAAGCTAACTTCCATTCATAGGAACTAAAACCTCTATCGGCGGAGTCTTCCTCTACTTAATGCTTAATTGGTGCTACACCACCGCCGTCTTCACGAATCCCGGTAGCACCACCAACGACTCCGGTTATTCTACCCTGCCCACCGCCGCCCCGCCGCAAGCTACCTCTTTCACCGTCAAGTCCAACGGCGAGTTGCGCTTCTGCAAGAAATGCCAGGCCCGGAAACCCGATCGTGCGCATCACTGCTCGACCTGCCGCCGCTGCGTCCTCAAGATGGACCATCATTGCCCCTGGCTGGCTACCTGCATTGGCCTACGCAACCACAAGGCCTTCCTCCTATTCCTTATATATGCCACTATATTCTGTTTCTACAGCTTCGCCGTTTCCGGGACCTGGGTGTACGCCGAGCTATTCGCCCAAACTCAATATACTAATACCCTCATGCCCGTCAACTTCATCATGTTGGCCGTCGTCTCTGGCATTATTGGTCTCGTCGTCGGCGCCTTCACCGGCTGGCACATATTACTCGCGAGTCGAAACCAGACAACTATCGAATGTTTAGAGAAGACTCGCTATCTAAGTCCGCTACGAAAGACGCTACAGCACCAGTTTGAGGCGCAACACAACGGTGAGGGTATCCCGTTACCGAGGTACGGCCAACAATTACTGGACATCCACGCGAACGCGCTGCCCGGCGTCACCAGGCCGGAGGAGGGCGAGGTGACGACGACCAGAGACGACATCCCACCGCGGCAGCTATCGTACCAGGAGCTAGAACAGTATCGCGCAAGGAAACGGTATGAAGAATATATGGACGAGCAGGACTCGGAGAAGCTGCCAAACGCCTTTGACCTCGGTGCTAAGCGAAATTTGTTACATTTATTCGGCCCCAAGCCCATACTTTGGTTTTTCCCGATCATCAACACGACAGGCAACGGCTGGACCTGGGAAGCGAATCCCAAATGGATAGCAGCGCGGGAACGGCTGGCTCGAGAGCGCGAGCAACAGCGACAGCGGGAAAGAGCTGCTGGTTGGGGCGAACCTGACCCGGGATTTGTCCCGATCAGGGTTGAGCGGGCCAACGGAGGTGCCGGAAGACACTACCAGGCATCATTGCCGCCACAACCGCCGCAGTACCAAAATCAACGCGGCGGTCGACGTGTCCCGTCTAAGGCGGATCGCGTGTTAGGTCGCGATCCAAACCTATATGTAGACGAGCCACCAAATTCGGTATCGATGCGGACGCTAAATCGACAGGGTATGGCGATCGAAGATGAGTTCGGTGAGGAGAGCAGTAGCGAGGAAGATGATTGGAAGGATAAGGGAGAGGAGGAGGATCCGGAAAGTAAGGCGATGAACGTAGTTACGAACGGCGGATGGGCGCGAAGTGGCGCTAGTGGACTATTAAGAAAGCCGAGCACGGGAGTAAGGAGTGTGAATAGTGGGAGTGTATCACCGACGAAGGGGACTACTAAGCAGCAGAGTAATGATGAGGATGAGGTTGATTGAATGAGAAGGTTAAGGAATAAGAAAAGGAGTGTCGAATACATGATCCGCGAGGAAAAGGAAGCAATAAGGGGGATTGATGGAGGGACGAACAAGCTTTGTCACAACATGTGGCATTACTTTTGTCGTGTCTACGGTTCTTCTCTTTCAGGCTTGTGGATATCACTGCATGCATGCATGGCTCAGGCGTTTCAGATGTAACAGGTACGATTGATATTTAGCGTCTTCTTTTACCATACCTTGAGTACCTTTAGGTACGGTATGTCACGTTGGTTGGTATACGGATTGAGGATAAGATGTATTATGATTCTCGCTGAGGCAACATTTGTATATTGGAATATCATCCTGGCGCTCTTGGAAAGACAGACGCGTGGCCAAGACAGGAATAGTTACATGAGTTATGGCTAATTGTTATATCATTTTTACGTTGATTAGGGAGTTTGCGGAAGATTAGAAGTGGTAAGGTTGTGCAAAAGTGTAGAAGTGCTGTGGAGTATGGAAAGGGGTAGTATATGTGACGTGTCAGGGGTTGTTTATGTAATCTGGTCTTGAAAAGGGGGGCCAACGCCTAAGAATCTTAGGTATCATTTCATTTCTCTATTCCTTTCTTTTACGGTTAATGGGGGTTTAACGATCTGATATCTGAGCATATCATGAAATATTTTGCATATTTCTTTTTACTTTGTATATGATTTGGTTGCATATGAATTAATATACGTCTTATAAAGCAGAATGAAAGATTATGGAAACTGGCGAGGGCAATTAATCCCTTAAAGAGTCAACGTTATACCTATTATAACAAATTGTTCGTTATAGGTAAGTTAAAGATATAGTATTCTGTGTTATGAACTCTTACTTATTTTAGAGACCTCCCAACTAGTTTAATCTCTAGCATAATAGAACCTCCTTCTCAGTAATAGAAAACAAATTTGTCTAGGCAGCAGGACAAACTGCTGGTCTACAAGGTCTAATGATCTAAATTCTACATAACTTACTATTTTGCGACGGTAGGTTTCCTAGTATCATCTCGGACATCTTCCAATCTTCAGACCCAACAGCTGTGTGGGCATAAAAGACGCCGAATGGGTCGTATCGCTGCTTAAGCCGATATAGTCTCGGATATTTGCTCCCGAAAAAAGCTTGGGTGAAGTCAGGCTCGATGTAGTCTGCCTCGGACATGTACGCCCCAGATCCGGGCGATACATCTCTCCAGCGCTGCATCCAGCCGAATGTCAGCCTGTCGCTTGTAGCTTTGATATCCGAGTCGGTATTGGTAGCATTCCATAAGGAAGCCATAATGGCATGCATAACAGTATTTCGCCACGCTGGATTTACCGCGTTATCGGGATACCCAGTCTTGGGGGCGGCGGCAATGTTGAATGCCACCACGTACGCGCCCTCTTCAACTACATTCTTGATAACATCAAAGGTGGCATTTAGCTTCGCGGCATCTTGCCAATTCGATTTTGGAAATAAACGACTGGCCTGCCGAATCGCGTTGCTCCCCCATGGTTCGACGGGGAAACTCGCGAGCCACGCGTCGTAAAAATCATCGTATTCCGTATAAACTGGCTTAACTTCCACGCCCAGTTCTTTGAATTTATCAAACAATGGGGCCACCAGGGCTTCGAGTTGAGACTTAGACATCCCAGGGGCGAACCACGGGCCCATGTCAGAGATATATTGATCGTTTCCGACCTTCGAGATCCGAAAATACTCATAATTGCCAGCATCGGTATATGTGATGAAACCGTCAAAGAACGCCCGCAAGGCAGCCCAGAACTGTACGGATGTGACCGTTGGTCCTGTCGCTAGAATATATGTCATTGTTGTAACTTTGATCTTCGGATGCGCTTTGACAACGACCGACGTAACTATGCCGAAGGTTGACCCCCCGCCGCCGCGCAAACCCCAGAATAGGTCAGGATAGCTTGTCTCGCTTGCAGTCACGAACCGACCATCAGCCAGAACCACTTCCATCGAGAGTACCTGATCGGCAGCCATGCCGTAGAGGCTGGATAAGGGAGAATGGCCGCCACCGAGGAGAAAACCCCCCATGACACCCACAGTCTACGTAGCGTGATTAGGATTAGCTTCATAAATATTAGGGGGCTTACAAAACTTACGCGACCCTCGCCACCAACTATAGTGACGTTGTTCTTCCTAGCAGCCTCGTACGCCTCGAAAGCCTGAACACCGGCACCGAGCTTGAAAGCAGGGCCGCTGTAAAGTCCTTGCCTATAGTTCTTAAAGAATCGGATGTCTTTTAGGTTATGAGTCCAGATCGAGAGGGCCCCCATCCCAACCGATTTCGCGCTGAAATCGTGGCCGGTGTTTTTGATCACCAAACGCAGATTCAGATTCCGCGCGAAATTGACCGCGAGCTGGATTTGCGCGACGTTGCGGATAGAGACTGAGTATGTAGGATATCCACCGATTGTGCATCCGCTCTTCGAAGGTACAAGTGCTGGTGGCATGCAGGTCGCCCCTTGAAATAGTACAGCATTGACTGATGTCGGATCCTCGGTGCTATTAGATGTCAGTAAAACCTCCACCCTTGATGCTTAATACGTGGTCATACTGATAGATAGATGCATTGATCCAGTTATTGGTGATGAAATCGCATTTGGACGTGTTGCGATTCCCAAAGCTATCATAGCAAGACGCCGCATAAGGGACGGTCTCGATTAAACCACCGCCGAGTAGGATGTTGAAGAGCCCCCAGGTAGATGGGAAAGGCCAATAGGGGTCGTCTGGATATGTCTTGCATAATCCAGATAAAGACCGCTTAGATAGATTCTCTGCCAAGTCCGACTCGTTCTGGAAGCTAAAGAACGTGACATTAGACAGCTTTAGGTCAGTGAGGTTGGCCAAGACGGCATCAGTCAGCTGCAGGGTCTCTCCTTCGAACAGATCCGCAGTTGAATTTGAGGTTCCCGCGTCGACACTGGCTACGGCCGGGGCAACCGTGGATTCGTTGGCCGCTGATGAAGGAGTTAGCCGTTATATCTCACGCTGACTGTGGGTTGTATAAACTAACGAACTGTTGAGTTGTCTATGACAATTGTCTGGGAACACACGAAGGGTAGCACGTGAGCCAAGAGAGTAGCCACAACGGCCTTTCTGAGGCGAGACATCGGTGCTACACGTGCCCAGAGAGTCGGCACGAGCTCAAATAGTGCGGCTTGGGATGAATAAGAGATGTTGGGGGTATACTAAATAGATGACATAGAGCGAGCCCATCATCGCCGTATATATTTTATATATCATCGCGTATCTTACGATATATCCCTACCTTCAGATCCGGTAGGGATGCCGGCCAGGGCACCGTCGCCCGTCTGCGTGGCCAGGGCGTCAAGCATGGATGAACGACGCCGCTCACCAGCGAAGTACTACAGTAGCTGCAGATCCCTCACGCGAGGTCTAGACAACTTAGAAAGACGGGCAATACCCAACAGCTCTGCCGACGACCCGCAGATAAGTATAATTTGGTAAGAGCCCCAGCTAGGCCGCCCAGAGCTGCAGGGCCGAGATAGTAAACATTACATCTAAGGGTATCATATTCTCGCTTTCGAAGGGAAAGCTAGGTTGTATAAGCAAGCTGCTCAATGGTTATTGGTTGACGCTGTTGATCTATTAGAAGCAGTCCCAAGTAACCTGGATTCCTCCTCGCGGAAAAGTACCAGGCCTAGTGAATATCAGTTGAAGTGGCCGATTACGCGACCATATTTGCTGGCAGTTATACAATAGAATGTTTCTTTCCCCGTCCCGACAAAGCCGTGAAGGAGAGAGGTTTGAATTCTGCCTGGACCCTTGCAGGCCGGTTGCGTTTGCGGGTAGTCTGGATAAAATGGCCGACGAATAAGGGGGCTGCTAAGCCGTTACGATCCCCGATGCAGGAAACGTAGGTGACCTTTACCCCAGGTATGACTTCGTGAATAATGCACTACAAAGACGTGCCGTGTTCTAGATTTGCAGGATGCTAAGCTCCTCCTCCGCATTATGTCCCTGTTCCTGCGCTGCAACGCTATAGAAAAGTCGAATCTCGGTTGTTATTCGATAGCTGACCATTGAGGATGTTGATTTCGAAGAGTGGCATCGGTAATACTACACATAAGTAACACTCCTGGGCGCGTGTTCGTGAGACAATTGCTATTGGCTTTGTAAACACGGCACATAGATTTATTTTACGCTATTCTTTCGGATGCCATATATCATGGTTCATGACGCCTTTCTATGATCTAACCTAACAGAATCTGAATAGTGTCCGATCAGTTAGAACTAATAATTAGAGTATAAGTCTCTGCTATTGTATATAGCGACCAGTAATTCGGATAGGCCTGAAGGCGCTATCTGTCGCATTGCAGGTTAATACCGTTGAAATCAACATCCACAAGCAATCATGTGCAAATCATCATAGAGTAGTTCATATAAAACATCTTGGCTGCAGAAAGATCCCGTCCGTACTTCACCAATCCCGATGAGATAACTGCTTTTAACCAAATAGGGATGTGGTGTAGTGAAGTAAAGAGGCTGAATTCAGAACTACTGTCGAACAAGGAAACTTTATGGCGTATGCAAGCCCGGCGGAGCTGCCCCTGGATGCGAACTGCATGCTGCGTAATTTGTCCCGAATATGTAGGGCCATGTTTCTATATAGATGATGCCGTTCTTTGCAGCTCAGGCAATGTCACTTAATCTCTTGATGGCCTAACGGATCTGCTGCGTAACTGGCAGCTCGTAAGGCAATGGAGTCTTCTCTATATGCGTTTATATCGGACGTGGCTAGACGACAGTCCGCTGAGGGGATAGGCAAGCCTTCTGGTGCCGTTACCGACGACTATCCGTATTCGCCCCTCCAGCATGGCGGTTTATTCATACTGTTCTTTTTCCCGGCCATCGCATTTATCGTCGTGGGACTTAGAGTTTATGGGAGAGTAAGAAGCAGGCAGTTTGGCTGGGGTAAGTTACCCGAAAGCAAAATTAGGGATGGGGGTTTCATTGGATATCTATCTGGTTCTTCTCCTTGATCAGTAGCTGATGGCGTTTCGCAGACGATGGCCTAGCATGCATGGCTATGGTAAGAGGTGGCTCTTACTCTTTAATATGCCGCCGCTCACATATATCAAGATATTCTCGATCGCGGAGACGGGGTGTTCCTATATGGGTATGTCCTAGGATGGGGATTAGCTTGACTATATGTCATATAGACCGACAGACGTGACTAACCTTTTCCGCGACAGCCATGCGAACGGCATTCTTAGGAGTCCACGTCTACGATATTCCGATGACCGCCGATGTTAGCCTTGGGATGTATTGGAACTATGTTATACAGATCCTGTATAACCCGATACTCGCGCTCGTCAAGTGCTCCGTGTTGATGTTCCTCCTACGAATAGGGGGGCAAAGGCGACAGATCAGATATTCGATTCACGCCCTTAATATATTCACCCTCGGATTGATGATCGCAATCTTCGTGACCGCGATCTTTCAGTGCTCTCCAATCCCATATTTCTGGGAACGTATTACCAATCCAACGATGCCGGGAAAGTGTATCGATACGGGGATATTCTATGTGGCGACTGCAGCATTGACGATATTCACTGATGTGCTCGTTCTGGCCCTCCCTTTCTGGATATTCATGGGATTGAAAATGGCCCCCAAGATCAAGTTCGCCATAATGGTTGTGTTCTTACTGGGAGCCGTGTAAGTCATCATACTCGCAGTTGGGCGGATTGGAAGCCCGGAAACTGACAGGTTTTCTCAGTGTTACTGTGGTTAGTATTCTCCGGATGCTATGGATCATTGAGACTTCGCTCTACCCGATGAAATACGACTACTCGTACGATATTCGATTTACCTATTCCGCCGTCGAAACGAACTTAGCAATAATCACGGCATCGGGACCAGCACTACGACCCCTATTTATGGTTTGGTTCCCTCGGTTCTTCTCCTCTCTCCGTGGAACTTCGAACCAGAACTACCGTTACCGGGACGGGCCTTACGCGTTGAATGATACGGGAAATGCCAATAAATCTAGCGGAAACGGAAACGGAAACAGCTCCAAAGGAGACCATCTCTATGGCACATCGTCCTTTGCTCTTAGAGACATGAAGAGGCGGACAGAGATACGGAGTCACTCGCCGACAACCAGCGAAGAAGAAATCATGACGTACAATGGTATTGTACGAACAACAGAGGTTGATATTCAGTTTGTTGCACGACCCTTGTCGGCTCATCAGGTACAATGACGAAAGTCTTACTGAGAAGTAATGTAATATTGAAAAGGGGGATACGTATATATGGCATACCTAGGACAAGGTCTGGCTTACTTTGCCGGAAATAAAATTATCGCTTCTAATGCTCGCGAAAAGAGCGCGGCGCTGGTATTTATGTAGCTCTTGAATTATATAGTAAAGGTAATGGGTAGTACCTGGCTTGCTAGTAGCTCAGTAATAGGATTCATATCATGTAGGAATATAGGGGAATGTTTATAGAGTATTAAGGCTCGTAACCCTTTATATCTACTGTAATAGTAGCAAAGACAACCAGCTGAATATTATCGTCCAGACAATGCATCTAAGCTTATTTTCCTCGATACACCTATAACCTATACTGTGAACCGACCTAGGCATCCATTAGATTTGATATCGTTACTTACTGGAAGCCTATGCCATAAATAACGTATACAGGCTCACAATATTAGACTGCCCTGATCGATACAATATTTTAAGGAAAGATTCCCCGTCGAAGCTAAAAAACGACGTCGTAATCGCTAACGAACAATTGCGCCTTATATTGTGCGACATTCCCTAAATAGATAGTATTTGCGTGTTCCTCCGTCGTAATTGATGAAAGTATCTAACTTAGGAAGCACCCTGAGGACTAGCTCCGACGCCTGTAAAGTAATAAATCGTAACTAACAATATCATGAACACATTGATAAATAAACGTTCAACATTACGAAACTTAACGGGTATGTCGTACTATCTTTTCTCTTCTACATTCATGTTGTCGTTGCTAAAGGTTTCGCTACAAGGGTTTGAGTAGCGGCCTTCAAGAACCCTTATAGTACCTACTACTCAAGTACTACCCTAGACCATTTTTATCATTAGATATTAGATATTAGATATTAGATATTAGATATTAGATATTAGATATTAGATATTAGATATTAGATATTAGTTATTAGTTATTATGGCCTTCCCTCGCAATATCTTAATGTATCTAATTCTTACGAAGCATAGAAAACAAGACTTTGAAAACCACCTTGATAGTTGAGAGCTAGGCGAAAAAATAATAAGGCTGATGAAATTATATGTATCTTATTAACAATAATACTTCAGGCAATTCTCCAAGATAAGAATGTTAAGGGGTGTCTTAGACTTGTCATCAGGCAAAGCTTGTTTTGAACCTGACGGTTGAACTAGTAATATATCTAGTACTACCACCGCCGTTTTCTCTGCTCTATTACTTGAGAGAATCGAGATTTTGGGTGGGTGTTACAAATTAAGTATCCGTAGTTGAGTAAGCCAGCAGCCGCAATTGACCACTAAGCCCTCTCGCGCAATCTAGCTTATACCATGTTAAGATCATATAGATCTCACCAACTCCAAGAATCTGAACCCATTCAAGTACTACGGACCTCCACGACGGGTCCTATCAATGTCAAAGCGAGATGCAGTGACAGCCTAACGCCGTCCAAATACAGGGTGCGATCAGCAGTACATCTAGTCACTACTTGACACTTAAGCGGCGCCTTAAATACTACCTTTTCTATACAATTTACAAGATAGGTACAGTATACTCTGCCACGCCACTTACACTATATACTCCAGCAAAGAACTGCTCCTTATTAATTGGTCCCGATATGAACACCATAGGGGTGGTTTGGATCGAGATATGCAGACCATACCAATATTACGGCGTATTAAGCAACACGAGTATAATTGACCCATTAGGCAACCACCTTGCTTTATTCGAAGCTGAATCCCTGTAGCTTACAGAAGGCAGTTCTCTAAATCCCGCATTATCATGCGTCGAAGCCACTGAGACACCCCTAGTCTCTATTTCTTCGCCAATGTCCACCTCCACGGCGCACGTCGTATAGGGCATGCCCGAAAAGCATATGAGGCGTAAATACCTAGCTATGTCGGGATTTGATATATCGCAGGGTTAAGTATAATACCTCCTTTCAAGGCTTTAATCGTTAGTATCCGGAAGAATACGTGAATAGGGGCTGTGGTGGGGTGACGTCTTGCCACAAGGAACAATGGGAGCACCCACGTACGTTTGCAAAAGCAATTTCCAGGGTCGTTTTTGCTTTTTCGTCTTTGGATTCATTGCAAAACGTACCTATACTTGACAGGATTGTTGCTCTCGATACGACAGCCGGGGATGAGAGCAGAGCCCGCCCTGGCTCTAGACGTCGTGCTGGAAACTGAACACTTCTCGGCTGGTACTCAGACGCTGTAATGCACTATCGAGAGAACAAGTACGTCGGACCATATGAACAACTTAATACATACAGAGTACTAGAAGTCCCTTGCAAATACCTCGTATTAGGGCGGCGGCTGCTCCCGAGTTTTCGCCAATGACGGCAATATTACGTACCTGAGAGGGGATGTCAATATTAGTTATAAGCGTAGGACTTGACACTGTTATTGGATCTCCCCCCAAAAACTAATAAAAATCTATTCTTACTCTCCTTAATATCACTACTTACTCTTTTCTGCATATCTTTACCTACGCAAGGACTACATACCAGGTAGCCGGACAACAATTGCACTGGGGCACAGCCTCGACAGCAAGTATAGCCTATAGGCTCCTCTATTTCGTATTATGACTATACTTGGTTATATTACATGGAGTCCTAGAGTCCTACTCGTATACCTAAACGGTGAGGGCCTCGCAGCGCATTCTGCATACGCGGCTCTCCCATCACCCACTCCCGAGGCCGCCTGCATTCAACCCCAGGGCCAAGACAGGGGATGAGAACAAGCAAGAGATGCTGACGGCGCGGAACTTGTACCTTTCAGCATCCCGGACTTGGCAAGCCACCGTTGATCTAGCCAGGTGCCGAAGCTTCCGCGGAGTTACGGCACCGCCGCAATTCTGCTCAAACCCCTTTACCCCTGTCTTCTCTTGCATAGATCTTAAGAAGGTTTGGCGGCGGACAAAAAGGAGCACGGCTTCACACAGCGTATCGCCTCCACAGCCGGACACGTCTGTCCTCCCCATGCCCAGATTCTCGCCTGACAAACTGCGTAGGTATTGTCAGGACAGAAGCGACAATCGGTACTATTCCCCGTATCGCACAGCATCCTTCACCTATCGCCCCCCATCGCCCCCATCGCAGGGATCTCATCGCTTTCCTTACCACCCCATATCTACTGGTGGGACAAGGGAGGGGGAAGATAGCCCTTCTTCGTACCTGAACTCGTTCTGCATGGCGAAGTGGGGAAGTGGACGTACATACAGATCTCGAAAGTCGCGCACCAGACAACAATCAGTCCAGATGTGAGCCGATTTCTCTCGTTCGTGCGAGCTGTGAGATTAGGGAGGAAGAAAAGGGGGAGATGAAAAACTGGTTCGAGAGCCGGCTCACAAAACGGATTACTACCTACCTAGTTCTCGCGGCACTGGAGCCTGGCGATGCCGGATCGCCCCCGTCCAGTAGGGTAAAGTCCTTGGCCGCATCAGATATATAAAGCATGGGGGTTTGCACGACGTAATACAGGACATTCGACCAAACGGAAAGGCGACATGAGGAATTGGCTCGCGTGGTCTCCCTGACACGCACGCGCCATATCGCCTGAGGTAATATATTTCTCGATCGCGCAGGGAGCCATTTCGGCCCACCGCTGCCGCGGGACAGAGTTCCACGATGGACGACCACATCTTCGGCCAGGGCGCACAGGGTACAGATGTGATGTATCAGAGTATTACTTATTTGTCTGCGGAGTCGGGCGCGTTTCTGAGGTCATTCCGTCTCCGCAGGTTTCCGTATGCCTGGGGTAGGTAGTTGGATGATGTGGCATGATGAGTGAGTGATTCGGCCATGGTGTGTTTGTGGCCCAGCGCGGTAGAAAGGGAAAAATAAAAATAAAAACAGAGATTGACTTTCCAAGGTTAGTTACCGATATGGCCGCACGGGCATTATGTTGAGCACGTCGGTGCAAAAATCTACCTCCGCGAGACACGCATAACCCCAATTTACAAGGACGGGCCTTACAAGGACGGGCCTTGCAAATACGGTTCCGGACTGCCAACTGTAGGTTACGCATGGGCGAGGCAAGAGATGAGGCGTCCAGGTATCACGGCATTGTGCCGGGATTACGGATTAGAGAGATGTGTACCCAGGAATCGTACACTATAGATCCAACCGACGCATTGATTTCGACAGGGGGAAGAGCTACTGTACGAGTTCTGGACGCCGTCCAACCTTTTTAGAAGTGAGACAAGAGATGATGGGCCTGTGGGACGTTTCACTATCCCCACAGAATCTGACACTCCTGTAGTACGTAGAAGTCTGCAGGAGAGAGATGATATCGAGCGGAAGATACGAAAAGTTGTGTAGCCAGAGCAGAAACAGAACAGATCAGAGCAGGAGTAAGCAGCTGAGCTGCAATGGGGATATCTCAGCTGCCGACTCGCCTTGTCGCCCAGCAGTTGCCCAGTCGCCCAGTCGCCTGCCCAGTCTCACTAGCTAAGCCGACTTAAGCGAGCACCGCTACGAACGAGACGTAGTTAATCCAAAATGATGTATTTCTTTTCTGTTGTTGTTCCATTCTCCCGAGAGTAAGCGCGTATAAGGGAATGATCAGGAAATGCCACGTCAAGTAGCGCGGCGTGTGGTTGTTTAAGAATAAGCCAAGGAGGAGTACCATGACAGCACGTGCGGGAAACTACAGCTTGTTGGACTCCTTACATGTGCATATAGCGTAGCCTTGTGACGGTGCGAGGCTCACTAATAATACGTCAGCCATATAAGTGTGTGTCTACGTATGTATGTGTGTGCGTATATGTGTGTATGTGTGTGTATGTGGGTGCGAGGTAGGTATAGATGATGTATGTACCCAGGTTTGTATCCCCAAGTACGTGCGTGCGTGCGTGCGTACCTATTGTATATGATATCTCGGACCTGCGGCCCCGCCAAGGTATACGAGCAGGGAGGCTAGAAGCGAGCTGCAAAACACCGTTAATGGTACCATCAGCGGCGCCGAACCGACCACGTCGTTTTTCGCCGATCCTGAGCGGGACCCAGACCCAGCGCAGTGATCGGTTTGGTTGCAGGGCTGAGACGAATGAAACTCGGAAATATCACCCCGATCAGCGTGGTATTCAAAACCCGTCTGACCGGTATTGTTCGGAGAGGGAGGGGGGTGGTGAGTAAGGCCCCGTTCCAGGTGCCAGGTATTCCAGCTTCGTGGGCTCCAGAAAACCGTCTCGGGCCCAATCTGGTCTAGGGCGACGGAAAGGTGCAGCAAAGCACCGAGTGCATCCTGTTGCTGCATCACGGAGCTATTTCTGGGGGGCTTGGCCCCAAGGTACGGCACAAGGCGATGCAGGGCTGGTAGGGTGTGTAGCTATTTGGACCCCACGGCACATTTGATGACGCTCAGATGACCCAAGATTTCCAAGCTGTGTTGCTAACTCCTGCAGAATGTACGATAGGAGATCTCGCTACTAATTCATGCTAGTCATTGCTAGTAATCCCCCTAAGGCGGTCAGGCGCCCAACAGAGCTAACCGGGCCTAGGCTCAGCATGTCTAAACTATAGAATGACTGCAGATGAAAGGATGGCATGGCCTATAGCAGTAATCGTGGACAGGCCGACAGAACGCCGTGATAGGTTCTGAGAGTAGCGGTCGGATCAATAGTTGACAAAAAGAAATTTTGTATAGGTAATCGGGCTTTGGGGCTGCAGACCGGAGAATTCGTTGAAGAAAGAGGACCCCTGGAAAAAAGCAAGCCACTTCATCTGGGTACCGTAGACGTCAAGCCCAAAGCCTTTGCGGAGAAACTAAGGGTCCCAAAGGACTGGGACTGGGACAGGACAAGGGACGGGACGCGCGGAAAGGGGAGAGATGGAAACGGCACGGTGCGTCATTACGAACTTATTAGTGATCAGATTTGCCGACATCTTCTCTGTTACTGGGTAGGCATAGGGTATCCTAAATAAGCCTGTGGTCTAATATGATGCCGTATTATAAGGGGATATGTATATTCGCTGAGTATTACTCTGTAGCCGTCCTATTATCCTACTAAGGTCATCATACGAAGACATGTGCCGAAAGTAGTAAATGTCTAGACCGTAAGAAGATGAAGTTTAATTGTATAGTTCTCTGTCATGCCTCTGCAGCGTACTCTTTTCGGATTACCAGAGTCCAAATCCGGTCGCCTCTGCTCGCGTGAGGGTAGCCCAACGTGAGGTAAGCTGATACCGGATTTGATGGAGAGTCTGCGTCGCTTAGCTTGCTGCAGTCATTGATTTTTATTATTTTTATTACTATTATCATTATCATTATTATCCCCTTCCGTTTATTAGATTAGTTACCTTAGGTATGTAGGTTGCCGAAAAAACTCGGCATGGTCTGACGACCAAAACCGCGCTGCACTAGAGGACTCTAGGGAGAAAAAGCGACATGTATCCAGAGTTCACGCTGCATGGCTAGCCCGTCACTCCTAAGTACTGCTACTAAATGCTACCCGGAGTACCAGACGCCCCGTTGACTCAACTGCCCTTGTTGACGATCAGGTTCAACCCCAATAACCAGAGCGAAACCTGCAGCGAGGGGGCAGGGGGGTTTGACTTCCTGGGTCGGCCAGCAATGGCTGGGGACCGTAATAAAATGACATGTCAGGTTCGTATCACTCGCTCTGCTGCCGCTATCGCTGGCACTCCCTATGAGGCTGACTGACCTTGGATATGCCATGGCGGAGTAGGTAAAATCTCAGGTTACTAGCTTCGTCGATCTTGTTCAACAGCAACTTCAGTGGACTTATAGTAGCCTGCCGTGTCGCTACACAGTAGATCCTACACCCGTCACAATTTCATCACCGGTACAATCCTCGGCGTCAATTATTCCGTTAGTTGACGGACAGGCTTCACGAGACTTCTAGTTTTTTTTTTTCTGCACGACCAGACTCCAGGAGCAGAGGGCCTCCGGAAGAATAGGTATAGCCTTGGTGATAGGTCAGGTAGCACACGCATGCCGTTGCAGCGTTTGAATAAGGCCGTTCTCGGTGAAGATTGGCTGGTTTCACCGACTGACCTTCCTTCTTTACGTGCCATGATCTTCTTCTATTGACCTTACAAGTCAGATATGAGGGAAGAGATATGCAGCTAAAAGCGTCTGGACCCATGGAGGCTGTCTTCGTTTATCATCCTTCTGCATAGATGCTGATCTATGAGGGGGATGGGCGCACAGAGCATAAGGGCCGTCCTTCCGAAGATCGACAAAGACGAGCTCGTATGTAGGTAGTTTATGCGGCTGTGTATATTATTTGAGAGTTACTCATGCCATCTTCGTGGTATTAGACGGCGATTAAATATATATATATATATACCTCCTATATATATATAATTAAGGGTGCTGACGTACTTGACCATACGGCAACGGTAACATCGATTAACGGCCCTTTCGCTTTGCATAGTTTAGCTCTACGTAACCCGGTAGCGTAGGGCCTAGTGTTAGGTACTCGAGGTGAATCAGTGCTGTACCATAGTAGGGGTCATGCCCACAGGGGCGCGGATGGGCGGTCAAATGTGACAGGTCATATTATACTTGATTGCTGCGAACCGAAACACAGACCCGTTCGGGCTAGCTTGCTGCCCAAGCGGGATGCCGACCCCCATCCCCATCTCCTGTCGGCGCGATTACGACCCAAGAAACCATTTCCCCCGTGGCTTTTAAGCTTATACCCTCAATAGGTGTGTTGCTCCTACGGATTGGGTTCAGCCTCTGGGGGAGGAGGTTGCCTACTATCCAGAAAAGGAGTAGTACATTGCACGAATTCGGAATATGTCCGTCTTTGCGAATGACGTTTGCAGTTATTAACCCGTACCGAGTCCCTACATGGGACTTGTCATGTCTCAGGTCGGGTAGACCGTAATAGCTCGAGCTAAGCGCCGCTATTAGCATTCTTCTGCAAGCTCTCTCTCAGCTTGATGGAACGTCAGAGGTCTGTCCCCAACATGTTTCCTTGCATATGTAGCGAGGGGTGACCGCTGGTAATGTGATGTCGCAACCTATGAACATGCTTTGGACCCTTGAGTGTCAGATCAGGCTGAGCACCAACCCGCATTGACAGGTCTGTGGGGTAATGCGCCATAAAGACTGGTGGCGCACAATGTATGTATTCTCGGTGCCAGCTTGCCGTCTCACCTGGCTCGAAGCTCGTTGCATATGTAGTAAGTAACCGAGGCCATTATCGGACAAGCATGTATGGAATGTGTCCGTTCAGCGTTCGCGATAGATTCCGGGACTGTCCCGGCTTACGAGGCGGCGCTTTGACCGTCGAAGTCAAAACCGGAGTTGCTGAAAAAGGTAACCAATCTACAACACCTGCTGCTGCCGCTGTTGCTGCAGTTAAGGGGTATCATGTCAGGTCATGTTGAAGATATGTATATTGTAAAGCAACTATAGGGATGTTTCATGTGTTGTTTGTGGGTTGACTATAGTAAGATACAAGCCGCGCGTCATTATTAACTAACGATAAGAACCGTAGTCGCGGTATCACACCCAAGAACAACTAAAAGGGGTAGAGTAGACGACCCCTTGACAGCTTAACGGATCCGACTGCGTGGTTAGGGGTCCAATTTTATTCACGTGTAATCGGGGGATCTGCCTGGGATGTTGGGTTAGCTTAGAAGCCTTTCTCACTCGTTGGAAGCTTTCTAGAAGAGGAAACGGAATTCGAGCAGTTCTCTCAAGTTCCTCGGCTTAATGCAGGACCGCTTCGTCCAATGGGATCTTGCGACTGGGGGGGTCGGCTCGCGTCAAATCCAGAGCCAGTTCTTCCCGAATATGATGACTCTCTACTAGAAAAGTTGCATCTCGTTGTCGTATCGCTTAAGCTTTTAAATGGGGGAACTTCCAACCACGTCCGCGAAAGTAAATGAATACCCCCCACGATACGAAGTAACGAAGCACGTTGTCGATGAGCGTTGATTAACACAACGGCACATGACGAAAATCGGCACGGTGAACCTTGGAACACAGGGAGCCGGCGCCAAGTGATGATGCTCAATCCGGCCGAGATGACCAAGGCAAAACCCCCATGCTATTTAGGGGGGGGGATCATGAACTTCTCTAAATTGTCGTACGATTGTTTACGATGTGGAGATGAACGAGAGGATAGAGAATCCTCTCGGAGAGACTCGAAAGCAAGCTACTTTACCGTAGTGGCTAGCTTAATCTTAGAACGGGAATATCGCTAGATTCACATGAGCACGGCAAGTGGAGATGTGGATTCGGTTCTTTTATCCTAGACTTTCTATTCGACTCGACGAGAAAAAATAAAAATACTGTGTATGTAGGCGTATATAGTAAACCCGAATTGCATATGGAACTGTTTGGAATGCCATTCCTAACCGTGGAGCAAGAGAATTCGCGATAAGACTAGCCCACGTAGGTAGACTACGATTTCTATGTATTTATTTTTTATTTTGGTTTGGTTTGTTTTCAACTCGAAAATGGGGCTGACGGAGTAGATCAACGTGCGCTACTGCATCACGATAGAGACTAACGATCTGATCTTATGATAAACCAAGTTTAAACCTTGAAACATGAAAATCTGGTATCGGATTCGTACAAGTAGCTTTTGTGATAATGTTGGCGGGAAAAGAAAACGACGGTTCCTACGTAGTGTAACTGTCCTATGTATATTATCTATATGAGGCACCAGTTAATTATGTTATTTACCTAAATGTATAAGCTATAGTAAGACTACCCAAACTAGGGCGGAATATGGCGCGCTCCTAGGGGCGTCTTTATTCTTATTGATGAATTGGTAGACTAGGCCGAAGAAACCATCAATAAGAAATCTATAAGGTGTAGCACAAACAGAACAACGTAGTAGTGCCGTGGTTTGCGATTGTCGAGTTGAATGGTGCAAACATGGTCTACTAGGCTCTCCCCGGATGATGAATCTGACATATATTAGATCCTTCCGGCTAACAATACCTGGTTGGAGGGGAGGGGAAGGGGGAAGGGGGGGTTAGATACGGCGATATGTATGTATCATCAGTGCGTATTTGGAGCAAATCACGACAGCTAATTAGGTACGGCGGAAGGGCGGAAGAGGGGTTAATAGTGCGCTATTCCCATTGCTCAATGCTAATGTTCGAGGCAGCTCTATGATTCAGCAGCTTCATCAGAAATTGGTAACCGAGAAAGTGCAGCCGAGCAATTGATGATTCGATGATTTGATATGTAGGTATAGTAAGTGCTATAAGTGCTGACTTCATGCTGTCGATTATTCGAGAGCGCACGTGGCCGCGGGACTTAGA